GCCATGTACTGGGTCAATCACTCCGAGTGTAGTACTCACCAGGCATAACACTAGACAAGCATGTCACTTACTGGCCAACCGGTCAGAAAAGAATGTTTGCAAAAAGCAAGTGTCGACCTGACACTGCTGCAGAGCTTCTCTCGACATGATTCAAAATCCGCTTGCCTTACCATCAGGATGGAATGCAGCCTCTCTCCCCGCCCAACCCAGATCAAACTCAACTTCTTAGCTTAGATTGAGATCAATTCCCAGCGTAGGTACCTTCAAGTTGTCGGCCCCTCGCTCGAGCCTGAATTTGGCCTGTACAACTCTTAATAATGCCCTACACTATCTATCTACTAGCGATCTTGCCCACCCCTAGCTGTTTAGATACGGATTTGATGCACCTTGGATGCGCATTGGCCACACTGATGCGTCCTTCAATTCAAACCTTGCAAGATGCTGCGTCGACATGCATCATCAGCACTGTACTATCTATGCAGTATCCCGTAAAGTATCTATAGCTACTAACCACCTATTTGGCTATGTGATATTACTCCGAATGCCTCGATTAGTCTTGCCACCTACTACCACTTCTTGACCGACTACATAGCTGCACAGCGTTGCTGTATCTGATAATTACTACCAACTACTTTGCGTGGCATTCCTTATTAATCGTCTGGCGTCAGGTCACCGCTATGTGTGCTCACTATAGGTGGGCCCACCTTCCTACTGCTACTACTACTATCTGATGTTCGGTTTGCTTAATACGGGCAAGGGTACTAACTCATACAGTCAGTCGATCAGTCAGTCAGTGAATGGAATTGCTTCTACTACTACTGGCCCTCATAGGAAAGGTGGCAGACAGGGAATATTGTGGGTGTATCACCACGCCAAGCGATGTTTTGAGTGTGAGCGAGCGCCAGAGAGTTCTTTGTGGTACCATATATACTATAGATACTAAGTACTACTAGTTACCCTTCCTCAGCCCCCGAGGGTATGTATCTACGTCTATACTCCTTCCTCCCTTACAGCTTCGACGGCTTGACCAGGCCCAATTCCCGCTTCGCCCGCTCTCGGAGCTCCCTCCGCAGATACTTGCCGATCGCGTTCTTCGGCAGCTCCTTCACAAAGACGACCCCTCCTCGGAGCTGCTTGTACGGCGCGAGACGCTGCTTGACAAAGTCCTTGATTTCGTCCTCGCTGATTTCCTTGGGGTCGGCGACGACATAGGCCCGCGGCAGATCCGTCCCGGGGTCGTCTGGCATGTTGACGCCGACGACGGCCGCTTCCTGGATCTTGGGGTGGGTGAAGAGTAGATTCTCGATCTCGGCGGGCGCCACTTGGAGGCCCTTGTATTTGAGGAGCTCCTAGAAGAATCATTTGTTGTGAGCAAAATGTTTGAAATGGACGTCTGGGACTATTGCTTCTCTCTGGGGAAAACGAACCTTCTTTCTGTCGACGATGTAGAACTTGCCATTTCGCAGAATTCCTATATCGCCAGTGCAGAACCAGTCCCCGTGGAATGATTCTTTCGTCGCTTGGGGATTGTTAAAGTAGCCTTGCGTAACGAGCGGACTTCGGACCAGCATTTCACCTTCCTGGCCCGGCTCAACGTCGTTGTAGTTCTCGTCGACCATCCTGCGGAAACAGTGAGTAACCAGGAGCGGTAGGGCACAAATCCGGAATCTCATCTTACCTGATTTCGACATTGGGGAGGATCGGAGAAATGCTTCCAGTCGTATCACTCTGACCCCTCGGCATCATTGTCACCGCACCTGTTGTCTCACTCAATCCCCACGTTTGACCGATGAAGGTCTCGCCTTGACCAAGCTTGGAATTTGCAGCAGTCTGCAAATCGCCGTCCATAGGAGCCGCGCCAGTTGTAGCAGCATCGAGGGACTTGAAGGCGTCCTTCACCTCAGGGGCCTTGGATATGCGGAGGTATATGGAAGGGACGGTGTAGAAGGCGGTAATCTCGTACTGTTTGGCGTACTTCAACAGTAGGTTCCACTCGTACTTGCGCATCCACACCACCAACCCGCCCGAATAGAAGGGTGCGACGAGATATCCGAACAGGCCAGCAATATGGCTGATAGGGAGATGAGCGAGAGTCCGGTACGGCTTGAGCTCCTTCCCGGCTGCAATCTGCTTCGCAGCCCACTCTCTGCCGGCCACCGACGTTACAAATGACTCTTGCACGAGGTTTTCGTGGGAGATCATGACTCCCTTGGGAAGACCCGTGGTGCCCGAGGACCATAGAATCACAATCAGACTCTTCTTCAACGCCGTGGGATCGGTAATGCGCTCCCACGTCAGGGTCTGGTCGGAGATGACGTTGATGCGGCCATCTAGGCTCGCCAAGCTCCAAGGACTGGAATCCAGCACCAGAACCCTTTCCAATGGAAGGTTACACTGTTTCGCCGCCTGGGTTGCCACGTCTTTGTGTTCCGAACCACAGATAATCAGGCGGCTGGTACCGACGCTGACCTGTCGAGCTAGATCTGCTACCGTCGAAGAAGGACTGGCGGCAGAGTAAACTCCTCCAGCAGCGATGGTGCCATAAAAGGCTGCTGGCACCATGGTTTGGCCGTAGCTGATGACAGTGATGACATCCTTGTTCGGACCACTGGCACCGACACCATAGTGTTTCCGTAGACCATGAGCAATGCGCTCAGTGAGGTTCCGGAGCTGCTTCTTGGTGATCTTGTTTGACGGGTTCGATGCTTCCAGATGTAAAACAGTGTCGTCCTGAGCCGCACAGTGTTCAGTCTCTGGCTGGTTTATCAGCAACGTCTCTTACCAGAAATTAAACCGTGGGACACATACCAAACAGCAAGGTCAACAGGTCCACCTTCGGGACATCAACAACAGGTTTGTCGGGATTGCGATAGATTCTAGCCATGATGTCTGATGCCGGGCAAGGGTAACTTCTAAGTTCCTTCCAACAATGCCAACAAATAGAAAGGCAGGATGAGCGATCCTCCAACTCCGTCACTGTTAATGTGATAGAAAATCTTTGCGGGCAGAGCAAGTTCCCTCTTGTTCGGCTAGTCCTCCCAGCTGTTATTTGATCGGAGAGCCTTGACCGGGGTTGTGGGGTAAGAAGAGGGTGTGTAACCGAGGTCTGCAACTCGGGTGCAGAGGTACTTCGGTTAACCAGATCTCGGGTAGAGAGAGAAAGAGAGAGAGAGAGAGAGTGTGTGGGCATTGGCACGCCAATCCAGCCTCGCAGTTAGGCCTGGTCATTCAGTTATTTGCCTGGGCTTGTCTGGTCGCATCCAGGCTTTCCGTCGAATCATCGAGACTGCGCCTTGGCCAACCGCAGTCAATGTCGGTCAGCCTTGCTACAACAAAAACAGGCTAGCGCAGCCTTGTGTCCAGCATCATTGTCACTGACGTCACCGTTGTTTCGCGTCAATCTTTCCCTGAAATATATCTGTTTCCAGGCACTTACTTCCAACACACCCAGTTACATCAATTACAACTCTCGGGGTCGAAAGCTTAATTGTCAAGCCATGGGAAGCCGTCGGGACCAGAAGATCTCGCGTTCAATCGTCTTTGCTATCCAACAAGACGACGAGGCAGAGAAGCGGGTCAGACTATGGCGTCCTATCAAGACCTTCTTCGCTCTCTACGGCCTGCTCTTGATCAGACTTCGCCCCGAGTTGTTCAAGAGGCTCAGAAATAGGACATGGCTTCTGTCCGATGATGAGTATCGGGCTAGCTTCAAGGACAAGGCCTCGCTCGTGTCGAAGGGTGACATGGGCTATTCGGGATCGGTATGTGCAAAGTCTTCTTCCATGTTGAAATGTAAATACTAAACAAGGACGTCTTGCAGACATTCTTCAATACAACAGACAACAGATTCCTCATCAAATCCATCCCTCGTCACTTCGAACACACCTTCTTCCGAGACGAACTGCTCGAGCCTTATGTGTCACACATGGAGTCCCACCCCAAGTCGCTCCTCGTCCGCATCACCGACTTCCTTGGATGGCGTTACCCGAGCATTGGAGGCCTCCTTAGGATCACCCCAACATACCATCTCGTCATGGAGAACCTGTTGCACGGCCAAAAGGAAGATTCCCAGTGGCAGACCTTTGATCTGAAGCCAATGTCGTATTTCTTCCCGGAGCGTGACATTGCTGGCGGCAAACTCGCCTCCGAGGCCACCAAGTCCAAACTCGCCGACAAATTCGACGACAAAATCCTCCTCGGTCGCGAACAGGCCGATGAATTCTTCCAACTCCTCGAAACCGACACAGAACTCCTGGCGAAACACAACGCGGTCGACTACAGCCTGATGCTGGTGAGGATCCCCAAGTCGTCGGTGGAGATCGACGCGAGCCAGAACCCTTTCAACGACCCGCCGAACTGGCGGACAGGCGTGCCCAGCCAGGACGACAAGTGGCTGTTCCGCGCGGTGATTCTCGACTTTTTCTGGGCCAAGCACAAAGTCCACGCGAAGACCATGACGATGCTGATCAACGCGTGGAGGATGATTGACGACAAGGGCCCCATGAGCATCACCACCACGGCGCCCGAGTACCGCGAGAGGTTCTTGAAGATGTGCAGAGAAATCGTCAGGGTGCAGGAGGAAGTGGCAGAATAGCAGTTCCCCCTTTTTCTCTTACTTTACTGTCCGTTCTTAGCAAGCGAGCAAGCGAGTCGGGTTGGGGTGGGTTTGGTTCCTGAAATTGTCCACCAGCGAGGTTACAAGTGCTGCAGGTAATATCACCAGGTGGTCTGAGCGTCTGGGTAACGGAATAGTCCGAGCAATGAATGAATGTAATGAGTGTCTCCTGTTCTCCTACATCCCTCGTCATCTCCATCTCCACCTCCCTGCGCATCTGCAGATATCGTCATCGCTAGCGAACTCTCTAGTAGAAGTGCACCTTGGTACCTAAGCCTGGGCCAGGGTGCATGTGTACGTGGACACTGCCAACACCCGCCCCTTAAACATTGGAGATTCTTATGACGCTTTTGTCCGAGCCGACCGAGTTCCGGAACCTTTTCCTTCACGACCTCCTCCTGCTCGAGTACCGATCTCGGAGGAAATGTTCGACCAGGGTCTTTTCTCGCGCGGTCATGGTCGTGGGTTGTTGTTGCTCGCAGTCTCTTGTCGTCCCCGTCTCTGCGACATCTGGAGTTCCTTCCTGCTGCTCCTGATGTCGCTTCTGCTGCGGTGATGGCGGCGGCGGCGGAGGAATAGAGGGAGAGGTAGGTAGTAGAGAGGGCGAGTGGGAGGGAGAAGGGACGCCATTGACGCCGTTGACGACGATGTCGTCTTTTTCTTCGCCTTCTGTACCAGTACCAGTAGCACCGTCAATACCACTGCCAGTGGCGTGTGAATTGTCCGGCCTCAAGTCCCCGTGATATGGCTTCTGGAGTCGCCCCCCTTCCCACTCGTCGCGCCGGAACGACCACGCCGCGACTGTGTCCTCGGGGTTGAGGACCAGTCCGACCTTTTGTGCTAGCGACACGGCGACCTCGGACGTGCGGGAGCCAGGCTGGAAGAACAGACGCTGCCAGTCCGCGCCGTCGCCGTCCGTCTTGCGCATCTCGCGCTGCCCGTTCTCGACTCTTGCCTTGGCGTCCGCCGCGCCCTGCATGTCCCCGCGCTGCAGGGCCTCGCGGACGTCGCACCACGCGCGTCGAGATTCCCACGGATCCTGCTCCGTGATGGGGTCTGTGACGAGCGGCGTGGTCGCGGCCGTCGTGACATCAAACGTCTCGAGCTCGACGTCCTGCCTTGGGTCGCGGATCACGAAGAGGCCGTCCCAGTGGCCCGAGACGGTGTAGATGGGAGAAGCATGGCCCTCCTCCTCGTCATCGTCACGGTGACGGTCGTCACGATAGACCCTGGCCTCGAAGCTATGTTTCCTGTCCGCGCCCGAGAAGAGACCCCTGCCGCTAAAGTCGATGGTGGAAGTGTACCCGCTCGTGCAGGGGATGTGGTGGGTGCCTTGCAACTCTGGGTAGGGCGAGCCGGTCAAAAGGCCCTTGATTTTGATGTTGGGCAGCGGAACCAGGTACGTCTCATTGTGGTGCGCGAGGTGGAGCGTGGCGTGCCCGATCTGCTGGATGTTGACGTTGCCGCTGAAGGTGATTTCCTGGCGGGTATAGCCCTCTGCCTGGGTACCAAAGGAAATGTGAGAATTTGTTGGTGTTTTTCGGGACAACAACCACCGCCGTAGATCGTTCTGGACGGTAGATCCAAACGAGAGGTTGCGGAGAAGAAAGACACACGAGGGACAAGCTTACCGTGACGCCGTGTTTCTCGTTCCAAACCCGACATGCAGTGACAGGTGGGTGATGACTTGCGAGAAATCAGAGAGATGCTTGCAGCGACGAATACCAACGAGCCCCTAACCCTGAAAGGGCAAACCAAGAGCAAGAAAGACGGGGAGCGACGGCCACAAACATACCTGACTTGTTCGCTGACCAGCCTTGTCACTCCAGTTCCATCTCGGTCGTCTTCGTCCTCCTCCCACCTGGCCAGGAACAGCTCGCCGAGAAAAGCGTTGATGGGCTTCTTCACGCCCTCGGCCGGCGACCTACCCGCATACTGCTGATTGCGCAGGGACGAGAGGAACCATTTCAGCACCAACAAAGCTCGCTCGGCGGGATCTTGTGCGGCCACTGGAGCCACGAAGATGGAGGGTCTCTCGGCCCAGAACGAAGGCAGTTCGACAGCCGATTTGGTGTCGAGGACGAATGGCGGGGCGGTGATGTTGGAGAGGTCGCCGCGGATGGTGGCGATGGACTGTTTGAACGGGAGCATCACTTGTCAGTGAGTGAGATATGTTCGGGCCATGCGAGATGAATTGCAGTTTTGTTTTTTTCCCCAGCAGGACAACAACACGGTGCAGGAACTGAGAAAGTTCTGGGCCGTGGTGGCTCTATTTTCCCTTGCCTGCCCCCCTTCCCCCTCCCCTCCCCTGATCGATGATCTCAGGAAGGGTTGGTGGGGGAGGGTAGCGGGAAAAAGAGCCAGTATCAGACAACCAAGGGGACAGAGAGGGACAAGCAAGCACAATCGGACTATACGTACGGCAATAAAGTCTTTCAACTTGGACCGGTTCTCAGACAGCGTCGGCTCTGCCATTGTCCGTCAATCATAAACTGCCTCCCTCAAAGAGAATCGACTGATACAAGCCCGATAATAGCCAGGCGAGGAGGGTAGATACCTAACTAGACCCTAGGGGAGGACAAACAAGGCAACATATCAGCACAGTTAGGGGGGTTTTCCGTCTGTTCTCGCAAGGAATTTGTGGTTTGTCTGGTGTGCATCGTAGAAGTATTCGGGGAGTTGGAAGTGGATGGAGATGATATCATCATGTCGTGATGTCGGGACACCAACCGGCCACGGCAAACGGGATCCCGTTAAATCGTTCCTCGTTTGTCTGCCGAGCGGGTAGATATGCTGCCTACCGAGAGTTTGCAATTCTATCCAGAGGGTGGTTGGGCAGACGAGGTAAGGAGGAAAAGAGGGAACGAAGCTATAATCGCATTCCCGTGGAGCGATCGTATGAGAGACTTTTCCCTGTGTTCTGTCTGGTCGATCGCCTTGATTTATTCAACCGCGGTCATCCATCACTCCGTTCCTTATCCGTCGAGTCGCTGTCGCCAGGAACCCCGGCGCCCTCACCAGGTTTCTTCTCGTTCAAGCCCATGTCTGCCCATTTCTCGAGCAACTGACTCAACTCGGTATCCGGATCCTCCTTGATAAGTATATGATTGGGGTACTTGGAGCTGAAGGTAAGGTGCTCATGGCCTGCCCAGGCAAGGTCCTTCACAATGACCGTCAGCTTCTCAAGGAGAGCTTGAGTAACACCGCCAGGAGGTGCAGGTCCGTCCCCGACGGCAGCGACCTTGTCTTCAGCTGTTTTCAGTAACATGTGCGTGACACCCTTGACCAGTTGTCGCTGCCTCGAGCATCCTACCAGGACTCGCATGATCTCCAGCAGCAGTTCCTCCTCGACCACAGAATTAAGGTTGCCAGACAGCAGGAAACTGGCGGCGAGGATGCCAGATTGTGGCGTCAATACAGTGAAGAACCGGGGGCCGTACCTCGCATCTGCTCTCTGGATGATGTGTATCGTGACCGTCGTGATTTGCAGACACATATCCTTTGTTTCGCGCGTGACCTGCGCAAGCTCGTCTTGACTAGGGCGAAGTGTAGCTGATTCGGTTTCTGCTGCCGCTGAATCCTGTGTTGGCTCGGCGTTGGGCTTGGTGGCACTTTGGGGCAGTGGGATCGTCCAGTTCCACAAAAGCAGCCGGAAATGATGGAGGCTCAATCTGGTGCACATGTCAGCATATCAACGTCAACCAAGACTGACGGGTCAGGGTTGCTGTACGCCAGGTCGATCGTTGTCGGTACCAGAACAAAATCCGGGTCGTCCACCTGAAACTGCTGAGGTATAGATCCATACCAATCCAACATTTTCTTGTCCATGTCCCGAGCCGCTTGGAGCCGTTCTACCGCATCCATTTTGGCATAGTCGGCAAAGATCAGAGACTGGACATCGCTCGCAAAAATATACAGCTCGCACATGTAGTGATATAGAGCTTGGAGTGGCAGCCGTACAGGATCTCCAGCCATGGGATAAGGTGACCATGATGTGAGACGGTTGCGCCAACTCTCGGAGGCATATGGCGCTTCCAAGGAAGGCTTTGGACTCAGTGGGGGGACCAGGAACCCCGTACCAAAGCCCCTGATGAACACGTAAATCGAGTGCTCAAATTTTGATAAAGGGGATTTCATGCTCACGTTGAATATATGTGCGCCGCCCACTCGACAATCTGGAACGACCGTCGCAGATCCTCAGACACCTCCGGCGATTTCTGGTGTCGACGAAAAAGCTGGGGCATCATGACTTCGAGCTGTTTCAAAGAGGTAAGGCTCACCCTGTCTTTGCCTGAGAAAGCTGACCTAATCCAGTATATCAACGTGTGGATCGGCCAAACCGCGATGGCTCCAACTCACGTCATTATCATAATAGTGAAGCCTTGAATATTGGTCAGAGTTGGTTTGGCCGCTTCTATTGCCCAAAGCCGCTGGGCTTCGTTGTGAAAATGAAGTCCTCGTGAGCTCGCGTCCCCGGGTGTCGCAAAGGCCATAGGATGGTCTGAAAAGAACTGTCCATTGTCGTCAGCACATGTGCTCTTGCACGCTCCGCGTCGACAAGACACCCACACATCCCATTCCTAGCACTGCGTTAACCAAGAATGGTGAACAGTAAGGGGACTGTAGATTCTTCGCAACCATAGCATCAAGAAACAACTTCTCGTCAAAGTTGTGGTAATAAAAGTGGTACCAATTTAGGTAGGACGACACCAGATGGGAGACAAGTTGGTCATCTTTGGTAACGGTGGTCCAGGGAGCCGCAGGAACCTTGTAAGTTGGATCGTCAACCAGCTCACTGATTGCGAGCATACGACGTATCCCGCCGCCGCCCTCTGGAGGAGGCGTGGCAGAGAGAGCCCTCCGTGTCTCATTCGCCACGGGTCCTGGATGAGCGTCAAGAAACTCAAGAATCTCCTCGAGAGGAGCATCCCGTTTGATGAGTTCGAGCAACTGTCGTGATTCAGGGGCTGACGAGTTCCTGAGACTGATCAGGATCCTGTCAAGAGCGTGACTTCGAAGTTCGAGTTCGTCAATCCTTCTCTTGCGGGCTTGCTTTCTTCTTCCATCTTGTGATGGGTCATAGATGCACGTCCTATTGTTCGTTTGGCAATTCGAACACGGTTGACGTTGATCACACTAACGACAATATTAGGTCGATTGGTGACTGCACGAATTGGACACGCGAGGATTATTAGCCGGCAGACAATGTGTGGCTTACCTTTCGTTTGGAGGCTCTGCAGGCCTGGCAGGCAATAGAAGCATTCTTTTTGGTTGGACGTTGTGTATTTGGAGGAGGGAAGCCGTCAGGGCCTGTGCTCTCTCCCATCATAGCCGAGGGCCCTGGCATTGTGACTGATGGCATCACGACTGGTTGGTTGGTAGAGCTCGTAGGTGGTTGACCGGGGAGCTGCACTCGAGAATGAGGCATGAAAGTTAAACCAAGGTCAGAGTCCTTGTTCGGGGAGAGAAAAGAACCACGCTGGACGATCCTGGAAGCTTTATCATCCTTGGAAAATACCCAGGATTTGCAGACGAGCACCACGACCAGAGAGGCAAAGCAATCATTCCACTGATCAGGGGCCTGCAAGCTGGACGGAGGTGTGCTGTGTGCTATACGGGTAGCTCATCACAGGGACTAAGAGCTCCGCACGCACCCTCTGCAGGACTGGGGGTCATGCAGAGTGAAGCATGGTAGCGTGGGCTGTCGCTCGCAAGCCTGGGCGGCCTGGGAATGCCAAAGCGGAAACACAACTCCACCAAATCGAAAAGGTAATGGATAATCTGTTTGGCGTCTGATACCAGGGGGCAAAGCATCCAGTCAGCAGCGTCACCAAGCATCGCCTAGCATCGCCTCCGCGGACATCCATTTTCCCAACCCCGGTCCCCCATGGCATCTAGGCTGTTCCTGGTATCGGGCGTGCTTTTCGTGTTGCTCAACCAGTAATGCAACTAGTCAAGGAGAGGAGGTCGTCGCCCATCCATGTCTGATACCTGTCTGCAAGGACGTGATAACTTCGAATCTAGACGACCGTTGGATTCTGCGCAGGCAGGGCCTCCCATGACAACGACTTGGATCCTGGGAGACCGGTCATGATTTTGCCGCCTTTTGACTTCGAGTCTACTGGGTCCGAAAGGGGTCCCTCTTGGGATTTCTCGTGGTCGACAACTATGCAATCCATTTCGTGCAGACTGTGTTCACTGTCACCTCGCTTGGGAGGACGAAGCGCCGGACTATTTGTACCTTGACCATGTCGACCATTCGTGCATGCAAGGTGTGAATGTTTTAACCCCCCGGGACTATTGATAACGCTTCAAAAACTCAGTCGAATCAACGCTTCAACCCACTTCCTAGCGTCCACTCCCACACCCTCGGTGACGCCCCTCGCAGTCGTACTTCCAGGGAGTCCAACAACGCCAGAAATTCCGCGTCCACTGCCGCTGACTTCTCGTGTCCGGGGTTGATCACGGAGGAGCCATTTCCCAGAAAGGCGAGAAGTTCCAGACTCCGATCTAGAACGGGACGTGTCTCTGCTTGTCGAATTGCGTTCATGAGAGGATCTTCTGACGAGAATGGCTTCTTTGGAAAGCTCCTCAGTTCTCTCCAGAGTCACTCCCTCGGCCGCGGGACGAGAGGTTACTTTGTCTTGACTTGTCAACCCTGTTACAATGTTATCACCACCATCTCTCCTTCGCTCCGAAGGCAAGACTTTCATCCACACTATCCACCAGCCTCTTGCTGTTTTGATCGTCCTTTCCAATTCCTCGCTGTTTGGCCGAGCGTGAAAAATACCAGCGTCCTTGTCGCGAGTTGAAACCCAGGCGTTAAGTATATGAGTGTGGACGTTCAGAGCCTCGATGCGGGTCCAGTCACTCTTGATGATCCTTGTCGTACTAGAACCGCTCGCACCGCTTGTTGTTGATGGTCCCATGGGTATCCCAAGGGTGTACCATGAACCCGAAACAGTGATTGGGCGGAGGTTCTGCGGGGCCCGATGCAGGCCCTCAGCCGCAAGACTGCCTGGAAGCGGGATGTTGGGAATTGAAGTTCGAAGCGTTGATTTCAGGGGATCATACAGCAGATCATATATTTCAGTGACATCGGTTGTGTCGGGAGGTGATTCTGGACTATCCTCATTCTCCGGAATTGCACTGGCGTCCAGGCCCAAGGTCGCTCTCATTCGTTCCCTCCAACGCTGCGGATCTGTGCATCTCAGAAGACTCTTTTGCAATGGGCCCAAAGTGTGATGTATCGCGCGGTAGAAGCCAGGCATGGTCAGGTTGGGTGTATGCAACCGGAATAAGAAGACGAAGATGAATGGCTGGTGAACATAGACCGCAACCTGAACCTTTTCGTGTGTGACGATGGGACGAACGCCATCGACAGATGCCGACGCACTTGTCTTGCCTTCTCTTGACTCTGCATCCACATCGTTCTTAGTCGACTGTGACCATGAAGGACGTACATCCGTATCCTGTTGGGAGAATCTGGAACTGGACATCTCAACGACCAAGGTGCGGAGGAATATCCGGTTTGACAAAGTGTGTAATGGTGACCTCGACTTGCTGGAGTTGGCTTCAGCTCTTTCATCGTTGGATTCGCCTTCAAATTCTGCATTTTCCAGGTCACCAGATAGACCTATCAGGAACTTGCCAATGGACTCTTCAAGCCGCTGAACGAATGGTGTTTCTTCCTCGTCGCTAACTTCTGGAGTCGGATCAAGTTCCTGCAATTGTTCAGCCACTGTTTCTGTACTCTGACCTGTACCTGTGTCCCGACCAAGGTCTTTGTCGTCCAGACCTTGGGGCGTCTTGTCGGCGCCGAACCCCTTGGGATTCAATGTCCAGCTAGTGCCATAACCAAGACTGAGATACTTCATCATCTTCTCCGTGTTGAACATGGATGCCTGTTCAGAGGCTGCTGGGTTCGGATCCCCATCTCCTTCATTGCTGCGGTCGTCGTTCAGGTTGGTAGACTTCGCATCTAACTTGGCCAGTGCATCGTCTAATGATCGCTCTACGGCGCTGACAAGAGGTGGCGGGATACCTGGTGGTGTGGCGTTGTTCTCAATCGCCTTACGGCGTAGGTCCGGCGGTCTGCCTCCAGGGGACTTCACTTTGGGATGGAACGCTTGCGCTTGCGGCTTCGTTCGGTCTGAGTGTGGCTCTCGAGGTCTGCCTTTGTCCAACTTCCGTCGTTTGCTGCGATGCTTAAGTCGAGATGCTGGGTTCTCACCCACACCGTAAGCTGCATCGCCATGCATGTAGATAGATTCCATCCACTGGGACAATGTGATTAGAGAAGGCCGTGAGATACCACCGACCCCAGAAAATATAACTCCATCATCGGCCCTCGAATCCTCACCATTGCCCAACCAAGGCTGCGACTCTTGCGAAGCAGGCTCTGCGTTCACATCTCCGGGTATACGGGTCGGTGGAGCATCACCATACCTCCCAACGATAAGATCGACGAGTCCCTCAGTCCGGCGCGCAAACTCCTCCAGCACTTCTCTCTCACCACTTCCCCACTCTTCTTCGCCAACGCCAACACCGAGGTCTCCTCCACCAGCGAGTTTAACGGCGTCATAGATGTCTGTCGCAGGATGGCCGTGCAAGAGGACATCCCAGTTCCAGATGAAACGCGTCCAGTACTTATGTAAAAGGCTGCAGAACAGGTCTCGATTGTGCTCGTGCTTTTTCCACAGCTCAGACAAGGAGGCTGCGTGGTGAAGTAAGAACCCACGGTAGCCTTGTACAAGCTGTGTGAGCAGCAGAGGTGCCGGTGCAACTTCTCGCGACGAGTATTCAACGTCTCCTTTGGAAGCGGTGCCACCTGAGCCGATGGTGGTTCCTGGTTTTGAAGATGGTTTGTTCCCGGAGGGCATTCGTGAGATGGAAGGCAATTGGGTTAGGTGGACAGCGGCAACAATCCACCACTGAGGTTCAACTTCTTTCAGGACAATGCGAGACCTTTCTGTCTCCAGGGACTCGAGAGGGACGCCGTTCGAGAAATTCCTACAAAGCCGGAAAAAAGTCAGATTATACTGCCTGTTGGACAGCTGCTGCTGTGAGGCGATAACGGTTGCCCACGTACTTTGCAAAGTTTACCATACCTTGTGCTAGCCCGACCTGCCGCAATCTGAGATTCTCCTCCGCCTCCTGCTCCTCCTTCTGGTTTCCATTGGGCGAGTTATCCTGCTCTGAGTTTGGATGGTGTTTTTCTTCCGCTGCACCCTTCCCTTTTGCCTGCTTCTCCCGCTGCATCTCGACATCGTGCGAATAGTAAAAGACAATCTGGTCGCGCAAGGTCTCATCGGTTGGTCCAAGAGATGGATTGTATATCGCAAGGTAGGATAAGTGAGCTGGGATAACAGTACGAGCGGACATCGCGAGCAGAACTAGCGTCTTCTATGGTGTGTCACAATGAGCAGCATGCTCAATTGTCACACATCATAGAGGACGAATGTTAGCTGATCATGTTGGACGACCAATATTCTAGGCTTTAGATCCTGCGAGCGTTTGCAAACACCTGGCTGCGGCTCGCTTTCTGAGAGGATTCAGTTCCAGCCTATCAGTGGCGGCTCTACGTCATTGGTGAGGCTGCATATCGCACGTGATATTAGTCCTGTTGGCCTGGTTTCAGATTTCGAAGAAGGGCACGTGCCAAAGCGACGAGATGATTGATTGTTGAATACTCGTCTCTTACATGAGAGCCTTGCATGTACCAAGTACACGAGGGTGGATTCCAGCGGATGTTGGCCTCTGGCAGCAGAGATGACAAAATAATTGTTCCGTGCGGTCTGCAGTGCAGCTGTTGTCGACCCCACAGGCCAAGTTAGCCAGCTTAAGACGTGTCAAGAGGCACCAGCAGATGCCCAGATCTCCAAGTCACGCCCTGAGCAAGTCCTAGTCTCCAGGCCAGACCTCGGAAGCTGTCTGACAACCCTTTCTTGCTACCGAGATTGTTAAGGAAGTGACCGGACATTATTTGATTGCATTGCTCGAGAATTCCCTTAGTACAACCAACTTGGAATGGGATGTAGAAGTGCTAGATTAGACTGTAGAAACCGAAAGCCTGAGGACAAAACGCCGTGAATGGATTGCCTATCTCGATGATGACTCGACATGTCTCGACTGTGGAAACGCCGTCATGTTGCCAGTACCATCCGAATCTGATCCATCCCTGGCCTCTGTGCAATTCTTTGTATTGCCACAATCATCAACCCATCCATCCTTCGCTCGGTAAGGAAACAAAACTAATGTATCAGCGCCCGAAGAGTAGCACAGTCAAGCCGCCAACCCAGATCCTTGGTAAAGCCGGAGCAAGAAAATTGCAAGTCCTTGATTTGACATCTGAGGATCCCTCTGGCGATATCCTGGTATAATGTCGGGGGATTTGTGCGGGCCATGTGATTGGCAACAAGGAAGATGGCATGCTTTGATCTACAAGATCAAGCACTTCTTGCTCTTGCCGCTCTTGCGGGTCAACAGAGCGGCACGGGTGGCAGACTCGAAGACTTCGCGGACACCCTGGTTGGTCTTGGCCGAGCACTCGAGGTATTTGTAGGCACCAATCTTCTTGCGCACCTCCTCACCCTGAAATCAATTCATGTTAGCCCTCGCTGCTATCAGCTGGATGGAGGTCCAACGCCGAGAAACGTACCTGTTCCGGGGTGACAGGCTTCTGAGATGTCTTTGCCAGCTCTTCAATGGTCTTAGGGTCGTGTCGCAGGTCGCACTTGCAACCGACGAGGATGATAGGAAGACCTTGGCAGAAGTGAAGGACCTCGGAAATCCACTATTGATCATTTTGTCAGCTCAATTGTCAGAGGATGTTTCCACCACAAGATCATACCTTTTCCTGAACGTTATCGAGCGAGTCGGGGGAGTCGATAGCAAAGCAAATGAGGATCACATGAGAGTCTGGGTAGGATAGAGGTCGAAGACGGTCGTAATCTTCCTGGCCAGCCGTATCCCATAGGGCTAATTCGACGTGTTTTCCATCGACCTCGACATCGGCAACGTAGTTTTCAAAGACAGTGGGGACGTAGACCTGGCGTATTCACATGTCAGCTGTGTCTGCACGAATCCAGCTCCTTTTATCCTTGTCTCGATGGAGGGGGCGTTGATAGGCATCACATGGATAGACCGAAGGGATTGGGATTGTGTCATGTTGTATTGCGCACCTCAGGGAATGTGCCCTTGGAAAAGACACTGTAGTGAGAAGCAGTCAGTAATTGAATTGCCACGAGTCGATTCTGGGGTGATGATCATACATCAACAAACAAGTTTTCCCACAGGCACCATCACCGACGATGACGAGCTTGCGACGGATCTCAGCCATAACGGCTGCTGCGGACAGTGTCAGAAAAGGGTTCTGAGAGGACAACCGAAATGAGGGTGTCAAGGAAAGGCCGGCGGTTCAGCAATCTTTGACGGATATGATGAGGTTGCTGGCGCAAGGATGAGGGAAGAAGGGGAGTGTAGGACGGAGATGGATGTTTAAAGGAAGAGGTTGAGAGATGATTGTCAGGGAAGCACCTTTTCGGGGTGAGTTTAGTGTGGATGTGGCTAAGACACTGGCGCGGGCCTCCAGACACCTGCGCTGCACTACACTGTCCTGCGCTGCGCTGCGCGATACGGTACTGCCACGGAAAGATTGGATACGTGTTGCTTGGGTGGGCTTCGACCGTCACTCCTGGCCAACCGAAGCTATGAGAGATGATTGGTGATGATAGTTTTGTTGATTGAAGATGGTAGGACAAAAGGATAGTGAGAACAGTAGAGGAATGGGCTTTGTTTCAGGGAGCAGGTCACGTTAAAGAAATGCGGACGAATGCACAACTTTGTTGTTACAGAGTTACGCAGTCCTGGCACCCACCCCCGGGGAAAGGGTCGGGGGCCTATTGTGAGTCTCATAAACAAGCGCACCGAAGCATCACTGCTAATGGCCCCTCAGCAACCAGCAACCAGCAGCCTAGTAGCCTAGCAGCCACGCAGCCTAACAGCCTAACAGCCTCATCAGCCAGAAGGGTCGCCTGTAAACAGACCCATGCGCCCCCAGCCGCCCCCTAGATTATTGGGGCCTCCTTATCTGTTCCTCTCGAATCATTGCTTGCGTGGTTGCCTGCTACCCATCCATCCACAGCCTGTTGAACTTACCGCCGGAGCAGTAGTCATCACCCCCCTGCTCTTTCGGTTCAATCATGACATCTTTGAGGATCTTCTATTCTGTACACCGCACATCTCGCTACGCTTCTGTTCATTCCTACGGTTACTCACATGTGCGTGGATAACGCGTTCAGAGCCCAACATCCCCTGCACAATAAGGCGGTCAGGCGGCAAAGAAGACGACAACATTGCCGTGCCTGTCGCTGTATCTTGCTCTCCGATCCCCCTTCGCCCGCCCGGTCAAGCAACCTGCGCTGACTCCAGTTCTAAGCAATAACCTTATGGGGTCCCGCAGCCTGTGCCAAGTTTCGATCGCCCAAGAGCGCCTGGTGCTGAGTGCGGGTAGGACTTGGGCTATCCCCACGCCATTCCTCACTATGCAGTGACTGGCGATTTCAAAGATGGGTTGGGAAGATCATCAAATGTGCTGCCTCTACAATCGCCCCAAACTACAAACAAGTCGCCTTGTCTTCGATGCTCTATACCTTTCTCTTCTCTCCTCTTCCTCACAAGCATCGTCAAAGAGCTCGTGATTTCGCGAACCGCAGATCCCAATGCTCCCCCACCCGGTCAGTGCTTGGTCTAAACACGTTGTTGAATGTTGTTCTCTGTCAAGACTCATTCATCACCTTGGTACACATGGACAAATTTAAGAAATCATAACCGACCGTACTCTCTAAGCTGTGCAAGTGACACGGCACAGCAGCCACGTGTCAGGAAAATCCTACAACTGTCCCTGTGGCTGAAATGTCCATCGGATGTTGCCCACATTTGGCTTGCACGGGTGTAACGGGCTGAACTTTTGTTCAATCCCTCGCGTATACGTCAGACAGGTTGAGATCGCAGTGGCTCTCTATGCTCTTGGTTTCAGCTGACCAGGGGTTTGAGCTGACCTCTAGGAATGCCGAAACTGGCCAAGAAAGGACCCGACGAGCCGATGTCCAAGATAAGTGGCACAGTCTGACAAGAAATATCGTCGAGGAGCGATTCACTATTGACTCAAAGGTAACCTCGTTAGGCACGATGGCATCTCTGTCAGACTGTGCCATTTTTTTCTGTTCCTGAGGCTAGCCGGATGGTCGGTCGTGACAAACGACAAAATCTCCGTCCCGACTCGAGAGGCTTTCTCACGCGTTTCATAAAGGAGGAACTAAGGCCATTTACCTTTTTATCGTCTGGCAGACTCGATAAGCCGTTGAACACTCTGCTCAATCACGCCTTTGAGTCGACTCTACTATCGAATGGCTGCTGCCAGATAATATGACATGCATATGTTTCTACTGGAAGCCATGTCCTTCACCGCTCACTGACACTCTTTACTACTGGTGAACCTTTTGGTTGAGATACCACATCTAAGCGGACACACTTCCAAACGCTCTCACAGCATCCTCAATGAAGGCCACTGTCTCCTCAGGCTTACTCAGCATCGGTGAGTGACCAGCCTCGCACTCCCTCGTCGTGATGTTGGCACCGAGTGCTCGGCATGTCTGCACCATATCCTCTTGCAGCTCTTTCTTGATCGCATTGTCCATGGTACATATCAGATACCAGACGGGCACGTCTTGCCATCCGGCGTAGACAGAATCCCGCGCATTCCGCACTGCAGCCGAGAATTTGATGAGCTTGGAGCTCCATTTGTCTGCGTCGTGGCGAGGCATGTCGTTGTAGAAGTATTCTGCAGGCTCGCCCTGCACTTCGGACCAGCCTTCGTCGTCGATCTTGACCCTCATTCGAGCCATCTTGAACTCCGGGTGTCCTCGTGCAAAGTCCTCACTCAAATCGGCCAGAGAAGTTTCATGTTTGGTTGGTGTCCATGCAGTGATCTGTATTAACCCTGTGACATAGCCAGAGTTGTCACTTCTGCGTTTTGATGGGTCCTTTCTTGTGAAGCCCCTGACAGCGCTGCAACCTGTCATACCAGCCATGGAGTGATTGACCAAGACTACATTGTTGCCCAGCCCGATTTCATCAGCGATGACTTCTTGCAGAGCAGCCACAACAGGTGCCATCGATGGGACTGGCTTTTCTCCACCATTGTAGATGATTGTCGGCGCTATGCATTTATAGCCCTTTTGTTCGAGGTCGTCTAGGACCGTGTTCCAATATTCTGAGGTGTGCCAGGCGCCATGGCAGAGCATCAGGGTAGGAAGGGATGGTGACATCTGCAGCTGACAGATTAATCGAGGTCTAGGACATCAGAGGCCTTGTCCAGAAACAAGGCAAGACAACCAGAAGAGAAGAGATGATGCTGCCTTATGCAAGTTGACGGGGAATAGGGGACGAACACAATACTAACATCTCATTCCTGCTTCTACACTCTTCTATCTCATCGTCGTGGGGTTTTTCTGATGACACACCCACAAGGAACTGGACGGCATTGATCCACGGGTCTTATCCGTGCCTGGGGATGACAGATCAATGAGATTCAACGTTCGATGAGCCCCGTCAACTGCCGTCTCGAGCCCGGCAGAATGGTCCCCCGGCAAAAGGACGAGAGGGGTTTCGACGATGCCTGAAAGTGTCATCTCTTGTCATCTCCTATTCTCTCTTCTCGAGTTGCGATCTGACGACAGATTGGTCGCAGCCCCCGTATTGCTTAGCGTTGCATCCTTTCCAGCCCCATTTGAGGACGAGCTGCCCAGACAGACGCCTGCCTGTGCTAGTCATCTCTCCGATAATTCCATCTGGTCAGCTGAAGATAGCCAAAGACGCAGATACACAGAGTTGCGGGTACGGAGTCTTGCAAATGCGGTTTCTACCCTCGAAAGATAGTGCTGTAATTAAGCCTACTTAAGCGGGGTAAGTTATCTATTTACATTTAGTCATCCATCGAGAATCACCAGTGATCGCTGAGGGTCAAGGAATGGCTTACTAGCAGGAACGAATCTATAGGTATCTTCTCTGTAAGGAGGCGCGCACTAAAAGTCCTATTCCAGCTATTTTGAATGACAACTAGGTTCAAAAGACCGCGGTATTTGTCTCCGGTTACCCCATACATAGCAACCCTGGCAAGAGAAACTACAACAGCAGTTGATGGGAGGGAGGAGAGGGAGAACGACAAGGGGAATAATGACGCTTGCCAAGGGTCCGGAACACCAACTGACATTGCAACAGAGGCATTCGTCCAACAGTATGGCTGGCAACGCGGCCAGCCCTCCCAAGGTCCAGATGCACAGTGGAAGCAGATTGCAGAGTTTCCCTTTGATTCTGAAATCAAGAGAATGAGCGTCTTTTTTGAAGAGACCTCCACCCATCAAACAGATGTCTTCACTAAGGTACAGCCAACCATGCCGTTTGTCGTTTGTGGCACGTGGGAAGTGGCACCATCTAAAAGGTCAGCCCGTCGGTTGCTAACGGACTTTATAGGGTGGTGTCGAAAGAGTGCTGGCCAATTGTATGTAACACGATAGCTTTGGAGACTGCCATCGAGCCTCTGACAGAATGCTTTCGACAGGACGTTTCCACCAACATGGAAGCGTTGGCCAGTCAAGGACTTCGAGTTCTTGCATTTGCTCACCGTCTCCACGATTCTCGATTCACAGAAGGGGGCTTTATGGGGAGCAACACACCACACCGCGAGCATATTGAGAGAGACCTTACCATTGTAGGGCTGCTTGGAATCTACGACCCTCCTCGGCCCGAATCAATGAATGTGAGTCCAAGGCTCCTTTAACTCTTCTGCCTTTTACGCCTGACTACATCATCCAAGCTTAAATATGGTGTCTTCACTCCGGAGTTTCTATGCGACATGCTGTTCTACGGCCTTGCGGAAGCAGGTTGCATCCTTGGACCTTTTACACTCGTAATCTGGGGATTTGCTAACGGGGATCTGGGGACGGACTGCAACGTCGCCTATTCTGACTCATGCACTCCCATGTTTCGCGCCCGAGCGACTGCGTATGCGGCCACGACATGGATCTTTGTTTTCTTTGCCTGGAAACTCATTGATCTCCGACGATCCTTCTTTTACATGCCCGATGATCTTCGAGGCTAGATGGGTACCCTCTGGGGCAACAAATATCTCTTTTTCGCAGTCACATTGGTCTTCCTGGTTGTCTTTCCTACTCTTTAAATTCCTGTCCTCAACGCTGAAGTCTTCAAGCATGATGGGATTGGGTGGGAGTGGGCGATTGTGTTTGTTACCGTGGCCGTCTTCATGTCTGGCTGCGAGCTCTGGAAGTGGATCAAGAGGGTTTACTATCGCACACATGCCGCAGGAAATGTCCGACGGGAGAACTTGGTCTGATTGTCTGTACTGGCGTGGGTGCAAAGCATATGCGGCCTGATTGGATCGATGGATTGGTAGTCATCTCGTATTCCTGATCCAATTGCGCAGTGCAAAATACCATCCACCCTCATTCTGTGCTTAGCAATTTCCAAGTATCTTTGTACCCTTAAAAGGGCGGTCCACTGTCAGGCTGCTTGAAACAAAGTTGCAATATGTCCGGACTTTCGGGAACGACTGTACTGTACACAGTTGATGCCAACGCCTGTCCCTACCGTCCAACTTCGGCACGTGTGGTTGAGAACACTGCCTTATTCTGATTGGTCGGAATGCTGGTCTGCCAAGGATAACTTGCTGCGAGGTCTATACACAAGATCTTGGCAGCCTGTTTGTCTGAGCAACCTTGGCTGCAACATTAGCAGCCTAGGCCGACTACATTGTCTCAGTCATCTAAGATCTTCTCGGCGAACCTGAGCACATCCCCTCTCCACGATGGAATTCCCATCCATGGCGTCTTGGCACTCATGTGCCAACTGGGACGCCAGGTCCGGAATCTCCCGCGGCCGAGGGCATTGCGACGTGCCTAGGAAATGAACAATATTCCAACATTCCATTTGAAGCTCTGGAGACACAGATTCAACAGTTCTTCTGACTGACAGTCTATCTGGCTACCCGTTGTTATCTTTTTTTTTCGCCATGAATTGTCCATCCCGAACCGACGACGTCGAATTAGAACATCCAACCTGGAACCAAAATCCGCCTGACTTGGCCGCGGACCTCACGACACGTCAGGACCTCAACGGCATCGCCAACTCGCGAGAGCACAAGGCTGCCTGTGATGATGACAGGGTAAACGGTTTGCCTCCGACTGTCAAAACCTGTCTGTTCGACAGGCCTCCCGACGCCCTTATTCCAGCAGCGTCCACTGCGAGGCTTCCTTATGGTGAGTTTCAACTCTGCTGTGTCTTCTCTCCAACATTCGTGGGTTAAGACCTGACGCCGATCATGGCTTCTTTCCACAGGACTTGCCTCGCTCCCTAAGACGGTTGCCGCTGGTGATGGCCGCCACCGTCTTCCACCTCCCCCAAGCACTCCGGCTCCTGCAGTGTCGGCCCTCTGGAGCTGGACCACCTGGGGATTGTCCGTCGCCGTCACCTCTTTCTCTTTCTCTGTTATCGGTCAGACCTATCATGGGTATCTAGGACGCTTCAGTGAGGGCCCCGCTCGTGCCTATACTTCGAACTCTCTGGCAGCATCCACCTTGAGCGTGCGAAAAAGGTCTACCTGCCCCGACGACAGTGCGAATGAGGACCTCTACAACACCCCGCTTCACGTTGGTGCTTTGTTCATCATCCTATTGGTCTCGACCCTGGCTTGCTCCTTTGCCATGCTGGCATCCCGCTTTCCGGGCCTTCGACTTCCAGCACATTTCTTCTTCGTGATTCGACATTTTGGCACAGGTGTTCTTATTGCAACCGCATTTGTCCATCTTCTCCCGACTGCCTTCATATCTCTGGGAGATCCTTGTCTGACTGGCTTCTGGAATGACGACTATCCTGCCATGCCCGGCGCCATCGCTTTAGCTGGGATTTTTCTAGTTATCCTCGTCGAGATGATCTTCCACCCGTGTCGGCGGATCCGTCCGAGGCCTGAAGGCCATCCTACGGGCGACCACGCTCTCACTGATACCTCTCATGGTAACCCATCGCAGACAGATCCGACCGGACCACTGCGCGATATGGGTCCCTTGGTTGGGAAGCAATCGAGTATAGGTCGCAGCCTCTCTCGAGTCAACGATGCACGCGATGTCGATCAAATCGAAGAGATGAACTCTTCTAAAGTTAACGCTCGGCCATCCTCTCACGGGGAACACGATGGCACCAGTGCGGAACCCATGCGTACTCTGACTCGAGATCAGAAGCTCCGAAAAGCCCGGCTGCAATGTGTTCTCCTAGAGATCGGTATCCTCTTCCACAGCGTTTTTATTGGCATGGCTCTCAGCGTCTCGACCGGGAGCGACTTCGTGGTTCTTCTGATTGCTATTGCTTTTCATCGCAAGTATACCGAAGCAGCCTTATACAAATCGTTTTGGAACTAACGTACATTAATCAGAAACATTCGAAGGTCTCGCTCTAGGATCTCGCATTGCCGACATTGACTGGCCTATGGGAACATGGCAGCCATGGTTCATGGCTCTCGCGTATGGGTGCACGTATGGGGTCTCACTCTGTCTCGGTGTGGTAGATGCTTTCTAATATGGCAACCAGGACCCCTCTCGGCCAAGCCATCGGTCTCGCCACTCATTCGCTGTACAGCCCCAGCTCCGAGACGGGCCTCTTACTCGTGGGCACTATGAATGCCATCTCTGCAGGACTTTTGACCTTCGCATCTCTGGTCGAGCTTCTCTCCGAAGATTTTCTTAGCGATCACAGCTGGGACGTACTTCGAGGCAAGAGCCGCGTCTTTGCCAGTCTGTTGGTGTTCGCTGGCGCATTTGCCATGAGTCTGGTCGGCGCGTGGGCCTAGACGGGCTCGACCGCCAGCCAGCATGCTACCCCGACGCCCCGAAAACACCAAATGCGTGCCACGAACTCCCTATGCAGAGCAAGCAGGTTACTCAAGCCCCTGGATTCGTCGAATTTATCTCAAAGAGCGTCGCCCTTGTCATAACGGATCGCAGTGCACGCACCTTCCATTCGTTACAGTTATGCTATCAACAGACCGACACACTGAGCCACGATACATTCCTTTCCCGGCCACGCCATTGACAAGTGGATCTACCAAAGTTACACTCATTATCCACCTTGGACTTTACAGATTAAATCTTACTTACATTCTTACCTCCCAAAGACACTATTGATAAATATGTTGGATTATAAGCCTAGCCCGATGAGGCAACTGCGCCAAGTGCGAAACTACAAGAGGCCTGACGGAAGCTTCCCTTTCCTTCCCTCATGCTTTGAAGTCTTAGTCAAGATATACTATCAAGGAATACCTATACCTACCTGCCATCTATCGCTACCCTCTGCCTATCAGTATAAAGAAACTTAAAAATCTTAGGGTAGAAACCGGTTCTGCAACCCTCCGTATAGACAAGGCAGGATTGCAGGCTGGTGAGTCCCTTGTCGCATTGAATGTCATCGCGCAAAATCGAGGGTTGCTCAGCCACCTGCGCCACTCTCGGCATATTTGTCAGTTTTGCGCTCTGCGCCTGAATCGAACCATGTCAGGCCTTATTACCATCCACGCCTGCCTGTAGCGGCTTGGGTCGACAAAGCGGCGATATTCAGATGTATCATATGTCTGTGAAGTTCTCAACACAGTACAGGGCATGGCTTGAAGCTCAGTGGAACAAAATACCTAATCCTCGGGTAGCTCCTTACAGTGGTGGATGGACATGCCAACAGAAGCCCTCCAAATACCCATCCACCGGGAACTTTGTTCGAGGTACCTTTCACATGTAATCAGGGCCGCATTTGCGAAGTAGGGTGTTACGGCTGTCAGCTGTTGAGGGATGCAAATTTATCTTGTCGTGTTTTTTTTAATTGACCATTCAGCGAGAGTAGCGGCCGTGGTAGCCACCGCAGAGGACGACCCATCATATAGTGGTCCTATTCCGCTGTGAAGAGGCGAAACCCGAGGGTACAAGTACAATTGGATGAGATCTACGGTCCTCAAGTGCATCCCTTGAGCCTCCACAATGCTCACAGCGGAATCACAGGACAAGCCCACTTATATTATAGGTAGAACCGAGGGCCTTGTCTCGTGTGACAAGAGCAATCTGGAGAAGTCGGACACTCCCACGAGATCCTGTGTCCTGAATACTTCCCACGGACTAAGACAGCGAGCACAGACCCTAGTGCTGCTGTGACAGGTCGACGTTGGCCCTTCTTTTCACATCCTGAAATCGATTAGCGAACAACGTGTTGCCCTTCGCAGTGGCAGACAGTTTAGACAATGGGCCGCTTATGTGCGAATTCGACGTTGGTTTCAACAATTCCCTTACAATTCAAATCACGTCTTGCACACTATCACTCCGGTCAAAGTGGCTTGAGAAAGAAAAAATGACAACACGAAAAACGGCGGTGAGATCTGGGTGATACAGGACATCCCACATCACCCTTATAGGTAGGTAAATGACTACTTGAGATTGGATTCGGTCTGCTTGCCCACGTGTATGTTGGCTGTGATAGTGGTACCAAAAATGCCTCATACTGCAGTTTACTTTTTTCTTTCTCCTTCCTGGAATCGCTGTTTGGTTTGCAGGTTTTGTGGGCATGATCCTTCTCCGGCAGACACCCTGAAAGACTTTTTCACCGAATCCTGAAGCCCATCATCTTGTGGATCTTCCCAGGGACTCCTGGTGCGACGGTGGAAAAGGGATATTGCACGCGGCCTGTGGCCAGGGCCAGAAGATCAACGAGGAGCTGGAAGGGAAAGTATACTCGTATTGCGGAATCCTGCTTTCGCACGGGCGTTGTGTGGACTTTGGCTAATGGACAATCTGCCTGTCGCCAATCCCCAGTTTTGCCCACTGTCTCCAAAGACTAAATCGTGGACTAGATGGACTGGAATGGAGGTGTGTTGCTCAAAAGTGAATCCACAATCCTCTCATTTGATATGGAGATGAGCGTGAAAGCTGACCAGGTCCGAAACCAATGGCTCGCGTCGCACGCAGAGCATAGCCACGCCAGACACGCTAGGACTGGTCGAGCGCTGAACGTTGCCGAATACTGGGTTTTCGCAAGCAGAGTTTGGGTGGCTCTGACTGCCAAACTCACCATGAATACGAGGACAAAGAGGAGTCCCCCGGTAAGACGGAACAGAAACATTCTGTGGCATCTAAGCCATTTCAGGCAACATTGTTCAGGTATGTTTCTCCTGTGTCCGAATCTCTCTATTGCGCTCCACCATCCCACCACATCATTCCCATCTTTCCAGCCTTTGACTTGCCTTTTCTCGTTAAATTTGAGGCATTTTTGTCCCTGGCTCGTGCATGATAACATTATTTACCCAGATCCTGTTTGGGACTTCTCCATAGTTCCCCTATTCATCGGTTTGGGCTGTGTGGCCCGTGCGCCTTTGCTAGCTTTGTCGCCCTGGACGCATGGGCCATTCATTCCATGGGCGTTGTTGACCTCGCCAAATTCGCGCAGCTCTGCCTTGCTCATCTGCATGGTTTACCGAGAGGAAGCTGGAGGAGCCATGCATGTGCTCCCAGCCATGGTACCAGCGCATATATCAAGGTAGGTCAGAGCAGGAGTTTCCCTTCCACACATTGCGGTTTCTTCCCACCTCCCACCTCTGCCTCCCAGCCCTGCGTCCAGCTCGTATCTCCGGCAAAACATTGCCTTGAATCTTGTCAACATGGCCGTCACAGACGACATGGGCGACAGCACTGAGAAGGCCACCGTAGTCGTGGAGGCGTCCAACCACGACGACGAAGACCTTAACCCTAACCTCGCAGCAAGACGCCGTATCCGATACATGGACGATGACGAGGAGAACGGTGGTCCATCTGCTGCCACCGATATTGGTCATCCGTTGAAGAGGCGAGGCTCGACCTACTCTGTACATTCGCTTTCCAGCGTGCGCAGTGGACAACGTACCATCGACCCGTCCATCATCCTGCCAGTTCAATATCGGACACTCAGCTATGATATCACCAATGTCAAGGCAATAGAGAGTGCAAAGAATGCCCGTGAGAAGGCTGCGATTGGTGAGAAAGCCATGATACCTTCTGCATATCTGGAGATCGACTAACCGCTCCCCTTTCTTCCAGATGTGGGAGGGCTTGAGTGGCATCTACTCACCCTCCAAGAGATTTGCAATCGATTAAATACCTCCACCGATACTGGTCTGTTGTCCTCGGCCGTGAAAGAAAAGCTTTCACAATATGGTCGCAATGTGCCTTCCCCTCCGCCCTCGAGGTTGGCCCAGAAGCTGTTCGGTTACTTCTTTGGAGGGTTCGGCTCTATTTTGCTAGGTGGCAGCATCCTCGTCTTCGTCTCTTGGAAACCCCTGGGTCAACCGCCGGCTGTGGCCAATCTTGCTCTGGGTATCGTTCTTGCCGCAGTCTTCTTCATCCAGGCTGCATTCAATGCCTGGCAAGACTTTTCGTCGTCCAGGGTCATGAACAGTATCACTGGCATGCTGCCTGAGGCCTGCCATGTTCTACGCGATGGAAGCAAGCAGACAATCCAAGCGCCTGACGTTGTCCCAGGTGACGTCCTCTACTTCAAAGCGGGTGATAAACTGCCAGCCGACATTCGGTACATAGATGTCTCCACCGACGCCAAGTTCGATAGGAGCATCTTGACAGGAGAATCGTTCCCGTTGGCCGCCGTCACCGAGTCCCACGAGCCCAATTATCTCGAGACAAGATGTATCGGCATGCAAGGCACTCACTGTACTTCCGGTAGTGGGGTTGGCATTGTGGTGTCTACCGGCGACGATACCGTCTTTGGCCACATTGCCAAATTAACCAGCCAGCCCTCAACTGGCAGGACAAATCTGCAGAAAGAGGTGCTGCGCTTCGTCTTCATCATTGTCGGCTTGATGGTCTTCATGAACATCATCGTCATTGCGGTTTGGGCAGGGTATATCCGACACGCACACCACAGCTACATCAATGTCCCGACCCTCATTGTTGACATCGTCAGTGTAGCCATTGCGTTTGTCCCCGAGGGCTTGCCTATTGCTCTCACAGCGTCGCTCACAATCACGGCGAACATCATGAAGAAGAACAATATTCTCTGCAAGTCACTCAAGACGGTCGAGACGCTTGGGTCTGTCTCCGTCCTCTTGTCTGACAAGACCGGAACGTTGACCAAGAATCAAATGGTGGTGACCGACTGTCTTGTTGGGTTCACTACCATGACCGCCGAGGAAGCATCTCACGACATGACGGGAGGAGACACCAGCGACAAATCAAAGAAGGCCGCACTCCAACAATTGCGCGTGTTGTCGGCGGTCTGTAACGCTGGGGAGTTTGACCCTACCATGATTCACTTGCCTCTTGCCCAAAGAAAAATAATCGCAGATGCAACCGATCAAGCTATCTTGCGACTCTCGGAGTCTCTTGGTCCTGTCACGCAGTCCCGCGATATGTGGCGCAAGAGATTCGACCTGGCGTTCAACTCGAAGAACAAATTTGCATTGAGAGTGGTTTCTCCCGAGAACGCATCGGCAGTTTCGGCGACTATGAGTGCCACCGAGGCTGGTTCTTTCAATGCTGAACGCGACCTGCTGTTGATGATCAAAGGTGCCCCGGACATTCTCCTTCCCCGGTGCACGAGATACGTCGGAGAAGATGGCGGCATCTACAATCTGGACGACGGCATTCGATCAACCATGGAAGCAACTAAAGATGCATGGTCTAGCCAGGGAAAACGGGTGCTTCTCCTTGCCCGCAAACATCTTCCGGCGGGCATGCTGCAATCGTCGCCCAGTGACAATACATTCGAGGCTGAAGCCCTACGACACGCCGGGGCCGGACTCACTCTGATATCGATGGTGGGGATTGTCGATCCACCGAGAGACGAAGTGCCGAGTGTGATACAGACCCTTCGCCGTGCAGGGATCCGCACAATGATGGTCACCGGCGACTTCAAGCTAACCGCCCAAGCCATCGCTCGGTCATGTGGTATCATCACCGTCGCCGACCATGAAATCCACTCGGTTGAAAACCTCCCCCGGTTTCCCCCCACGGACGTTGTTGAGAAGAAACGTCAGAAAAAGTCGAATCGGCTGCCCTCGGAGAACAAGGCAATTGTATTGACGGGCCCCGACCTTTTGACGCTTCTACCACACCAATGGACCGCCCTGACGACTCAGTACAGCGAGATTGTCTTTTCACGCACCACGCCAGATCAGAAATTGCGCATAGTCAGGGAATTCCAATCCCAAGCTTTTGTCGTGGCCATGACTGGCGATGGTGTCAACGACGCGCCCAGTCTCAAACAGGCAGATATCGGCATTTCGCCGGCTTCCGGGTCTGACATTGCGATCGAAGCCTCCGACATGGTCCTCTTGGGTTCGTTTTCTGCCATCCCGGAGGCTGTCTTGTATGGCCGCGTGGTTTTTGACAACCTCAAGAAGACCATCGCCTATCTCCTGCCTGCTGGCTCATTCTCGGAGTTCTGGCCCGTCATGACGAGCGTCGTCTTCGGTCTCCCTCAGGTCCTCTCCAGCTTTCTCATGATCATCATCTGCTGTTTCACCGACTGTGTCGCTGCTACAATGCTGGCGTATGAGAAGCCTGAAGCCAATGTCATGCTGCGGCCCCCGCGAGATATTCACCGAGATCGTCTCGTGGATTGGCGGCTGTTGCTTCAATCGTACGGCTTGGTCGGTATGTTGGAGTCAACCTGCTCGTTCGCAATGAGCTTCTGGTACCTGCAGCGCCACGGCCTCCCCTTCGGCACGCTCTGGTTCTCCTTTGGCAACATCCCCATCCCGGCGGGCCAGACCGAGGACGACGTGTCGTACCATCTGACCGTGGCGAGCTCCATCTACTTCGTCACGCTCGTGGTGATGCAGTGGTTCAACCTCATGGCCTTGCGAACCCGCCACCTCTCCATCTTCTCGCACCCGCCCATTTTCAACCGCAAGACACAGAACCTGCTCCTTTTCCCGGCTATTCTCTTTGCGCTCGTCGTCGCATTGATATTCACCCTTATACCTGATATAGACTACCTTGGGTGCGATAAAGTCCCTGTGGAACACTGGTTCATTCCCATGGCGTTTGGTGTTGGACTGTTGACTTTGGACGAGTTGAGAAAGATGGTCGTGAGAAAGTATCCGCATGGCATTCTGGCGAGGTTGGCATGGTAAGAGTTAGATATCTTGGGGGATCGAGAAACGGTGTCTCACTGTTGCGCCGTGCACGAAAAGAACAGGATAATCGGTGTCCAGTCCGTTTACATTCTGGCTGTAGAGATAGCAGATAGCACCTTCCGCCCTGGTCAGTGTCGAAGTGTCTGTTGTCAACGTACATAGATATCGTTAGTGAGCTTTGACACAGACCTCATTTAGAGTCGACGCAGAAGACATGCAGGACAAATTTGACTACCTGTGCTACCCCGTTGAAGACGAGATCGGAATTGCGCAATAGGCATCAAATGCTGCGCCGGAACTATACGGTCGATCAGATAATGTCAACACCGCAACCCTCATCTGCCAGCATCTCGCTTCTCTTTGAAATTACCACCCCTACCCATGTCCTACTTGTCACACTAAGAGGTAATTGCTATCCTTGTCCCTGGGAATACCCACTCCAGAGCTCTGTCATCACTGGGTCTCCGCAAATGTCCATAATCTGCGATATATGTGGCGATTCCATTCCTCAAGAACGGACATTCTACCACTGCTCGGTCTGCCGCAGCGGAGACTTCGCCATCTGTGAGAGATGCTACTCGGAGAACAAGCGATGCGAGGATGGCGACCATGTCCTTCTACATTGCAGGGTACAGGGCGACGCCGTTGTCGACGCCGATACCCAGAACCTGATCCGTTACTTCACCTATAGCAGCTGCCCGGGTTGTTCTTGGGAGAAGAACGGGAAGCCTCAGGACGACGACAGTCCTTTTCATTACGAGCCGTTTCCAAACGACTCGTACATCAGAGTTATTGATCTCTTCCCAGGACCGGATGACAAGCCTCTGCGATACACTGTGCACTACACTCGACTAGATTCGCTCTCGAGGGCTCAGTACATAGCCAGTGGGTTCCCACCCAGTCGTGGTGCAAGCTCCCCTTGAAACTGATATGAAGATCTTCCGTCAAGTCAGCTACGTCTGCGGTGATGTGAGCAAAAAAGTACCTTCCTACTGCAATGGCAAAAGACTCGACATCTACGTGACCCTCGACAAAGCCCTGCGCAAATGGAGGCGCATTGAAAAGCAGAATTGGCTTCGGATTTGGGCAGATGCCATTTGCATCCAACAAGACAACAATCAGGAAAAGTCTGCCCAGGTAGGTACAGGCAAGATGCACGGCTTGTGAGAGGTGGTTTCATCTCGTGGAATGGCTGAGAGCATTGATTTTATCTGATACCGAGAACAGGTCGCTAATATGCACGAAATCTACCGCCATGCGAACCAGGTGTTTGTTGATCTCGGCGATCCACCCGAAGGCGCTGATGTCGCCATGCAAATGATCAGAGATGCATCTAAGAGCTTTGATGACCGCAACAAATCTCTGGTGCAGCCGGACAATGTTGCACTAGGTCCAATTCATTCGCAGCAGCTTCGGAAGACCGAGATCACCATGGACCAGGCCCTGGCATTAACCCGGTTCTCTGAAATGGCTTGGTTCAAGCGTCTTTGGGTGATTCAAGAAGTCTGCCTATGGGATGTGTACCAGGCTTTTCCGCCGACAGTGCTCTGTGGTGACCACTCCATCAAGTGGATTGATCTCGTCAGTTCATCGACGCAGTTCGGCTTGGCTCCTCTGCAAATCATCGACGACCCCGCAGTTGTGACACCGGAACTCAGAGGCGCCTTTATTGAGAGCACAGGCTGGAATCCTGTACCGGTTGCCATCTTCCTGGAGTACTATAAGATTATATCAAAGCAAGGCCCTGCTCAGAACCTCCACTGGTTTCTCCATAGATCGTGGTCGCAGGAATCCACCAACCCGGCTGATAAAGTCTATGGACTACTTGGCCTCGTCAAAGACCAATATCACGTCGTTCATTCGAGGGCAGCTGCCACAAACGTGCAGCCGGGTAGGCATTTGAAAGACGTTGATGGCAAAAGAGAAATTCGAGTTGATTACGACCTGCAGTTGCCACAGATCTACGAGGACATTGCACGACTTACCTTGGCAGAGGAAAACTCCCTGGACATGCTCGCTGATGCCGGTTGTGGCAAGTCACGGAAACAACCTGGTCTGCCTTCGTGGGTACCGGACTGGAGCAGCTACCCTAAAGAGCCAGCATTGCTGTTGTCATTCGGACTAGCAGCAACGGCCAACTACCGAGCTTCTTCAGGAACAAGACCAGTCCTACCTACGGCCTGCACTCCCGGAATGCTCGAGGTTGATGCATACTTCGCCGACAGAGTGCTTATGGAAGCTGCCCGAGCTGGTGGAGAGACCGACGTGGTCGAAGTAGCCGGGAAGGCCGATCTACAGGCACATCGCATCATCAGCATGAAACAGCACCTCTTGAGTCTCTGGTGGTGTTTTGGAGTCAAATTCAGCACCTACCCCACGGGACAACGCCCGTTCGATGCCTTTTGGAGGACGCTGATAGCAAACAGAGCTATCTCAGGCCAACAACTTGCTGTCCCGCCAGCAGGATTTGCCGAAAGCTTCCTCATGGCGTATCCTGAGATTCTCGAGGTTGAGATCAAGGACGAGAAGCCGGCGTGCATCTGTCCTGAATGGGCACTTGCGAACAACCAAAAGCACGTCAGTTCCAGCAACTCAGATGATAGCAGTACCGGTGGCCTCGAAGAAGGGAAAAGGCCCCTCCCTGCTCGAGATAGGTATCCCCGTCCGGGTGAATTCTTCGGGAATGAGCAGCCAGCTTATGGAGAGCACTACAATGTCGCCCTTCGACGATCAGCCGTCGGTAGGCGATTTTTCAGGACGCAGAAGGGCTATATGGGCATAGGGCCAAAGAATGTCACCAGAGGCGACCATATCGTCATATTGAAAGGAGGTTCGTTACCATTTGTACTGAGGGAATCGGATGCCGGTGATGTTGGTGGCACGCCAGCCTTTACCCTCCTTGGGGAAGCGTACGTGCACGGTCTTTCCGACGGAGAGATATTCCAAGACAGCAAGGATCCCGAAAATCACCCTAACTGGAAGAGGGTCATACTGAGATGATCTGTCAACGCTGTCCCCAGCTGGCCGCCCCCCTTATAGATCCCTGTCTCGTCCTCGGCCTCAGCCTTGTCAACCCGTGTCTCAATCACGTGGGCTCGAATACTGAGCCCCTTTGTTGCCATATTAGGTCTAGCGCGGCCTCGGAGGGACACGACCTGAGACGCGAAGGTCAACCTCCTCACGCCTCCTGCAGTCTCAGACCAACTTCTGCTGCATCTACAGTCTCAAGACACCCCCCGCATCTCGTCGTTGCCAGGCTGGCGCCTCACCTTTTGGCTGTTTCCCCAATAGACTTTCGATCCTCTGGAGCCTCATCTGCGTCACTAACTGTCTGGTCCCCGCGCCCGGTTGATGCTAAACCACGCGCTTGATCCAGTTCATCTCCCCCATCTGCCGCCATGTGCTACAGGAGTCGTGGCTGGGATCTCCTGAGCGGCGAAGATCATGTTATACTGTGGCCCAAACGGCCTGCCGTCCTCGATACTGTCACGTCATGAGAGTTTGGACATGCCTATTCTGGCACCCCCTTCCACACGATCTTGATCTGAATCTACCCGCCGAGCATGGGTCTGCGGCTCTTTGAACCAGGAGGACACCACTAGGACACCACTCTCGGATACCCTGTCGTCCGGGCAATTGTAGCAGACTTGGGGACTCACTCCTCTTTTTTCAATAGCCTTCTTCGCCAATCTCTCGTTTGCTCTTTGTCTCCAGCATCTCCCCCCCCAGGTGGGTAGGCTTGTTTTTTTTCCTTTCCTATACTCTCGTTATCATATACAAAGGTGGACTGACCCAGATCCATTCCCTTTCTCTTTTTTCTGTGGGTTCTTTTCAATTCTCGCTTTCCTTTTCGAAGGCGCTGGCGCTGAGCGCTGGACGCTATCAGATATTCTGTCCGTTTCTATTCTTTCAAAGCTCTTTTTGCGTGATATCGATCTCTTCTTTACTCAGAAAAACATCGACGTCGACATCTCCGTTCGTGGTGCAGGACGCTACTCGTTCGCTCTCTCTCTTCCCCCCCACAGCTGGGTATTTTCGTCCTTTTCAGAATCCCTTCATTCGAGTCGACAACTAAGCTCGAGATCCAAGATCCAAGATCGGCATCGAAAAGCAACAACCACGCCCAATGCAACGATGCAGACTCGAGCGGTCCAAGTCATCCTGCTCATATGTTCCTTGATCTTGGCCATTATCATTCTCATAGCCTCGTCGAAATATGCGGCATGGTCACATGAGATGGTTCCGGGGGCGGGCAACTGGCTGTAAGTGACTATCTCTGCCAGTGTTTTTCTTCGCTATCAGAGAGGGATCGGGAAAGAAGTCACCCCCTTTGGAAATGATACCTCTTTCAAATGTATGGCTGACCCAAAACCCCCTTTATTAGACCTCTGGTATTCTACGTCGGCACCATCCCCTTCATCTCCCTGCTATACACGGTCTCCCACCTGGCGGCATTACAACTCAACGGCCTTCCCTGTCCACCCTACCCCAACGGGCGTACCACATCGTCATTATCTCCGAGACTGTCACGAAACCCCCGGCCCTACGACGCCGGGTACGCGGTGACGACGACGTTTTTCATCCTGTGCGTCTCGGTCCTCCACACGCTCACGTGGTTCGCCCAGAGCGTGCTGTGCACGTCGTGCGAGCTCGCGCCCATCCTCGCGGGCCAGCAGGGCCGCGTGGCGCGGTGGTGCCCGCAGTCGCGGTTCCGCGACACGGGCGACCGCGACCTGGCAAACATGCTGGGCACGCTCGCCACGGTCAAGGACTTTTTGCAGTGGGTCATGTTCGCCCTGGCGGCGGGCTTGGTCGAGTGCGCGCGCCGGGAGTGGATGCGCGCCGAGCTGGTGCGCGGACAGCACGTGCGGATGATGGGCGCCGGGGTGGACTTTGGCGGTGCCGGCGGTGGTAATAACAACAACAACTCACCGTTCTTCAAGAAACCCGTCAACGGCGTGGTCGAACTCTCCACCGTCACAATCTCGGGCCCCCGCCTCGTCTTCCGCGCCGAGGAGGCCGAAGCCGCGAAACAGCGCGAGCGGGACGCCGCAGAGGCGCGACGCCGCGACGAGGACGAGGACCGCAAGCGTCGCTGGGCCAGTGGTGTCGGGCCGCTGCCGCCGCCGATACCGCCCAAGAATTCGTCGTCGGCGGGCGCAAACAACAGCAGCAAGAAAAAGGACAATGTCTACGCCAACGGCATGGGCTTGAAGAGGAGCGGCACGCTGAATCACATGTACGAGTCGAGGGTGTAGGATCATGTCAGGGTGTGGGTTTCACGTCACATATCGTGGAGAAAAGTCGTATGGGATGGGATGTGGTGGGATAAGAAGGGATAGAAAAGATAGGGATGAGAAGGGATGAAGATGATCTTGCTACCTCGCAAGAAAAAAAAGAAAAAGAAACGAGTCCTGTCATAGATATTACCATACCACTACCACCACGTCGTTCTCTTCCTACGGGGGGTCATGGGCAGGATTTACGGATACGGCACACGCTGGGGTCCTTTTCATCGGGCAAGGTGAACGGACAGTCAGACAGTTACAGGGATATTTGCACGTTTGCACGAGCCGTGGTCAGAAGGACTCGTTCATCCCTACAGCTCCGTATCCAGCGCGGAGGGCACAAGTCATTAAGACACAGGGCATCAGGCACGAGCTTCACCTGTCTCTCTCCTCTGTACTAGTACATTACATTATCGTCCCCTTTTCTCTCCTCTCTCCTCTTATCTCTTCGATCATCTCCTGGTGAACATAAGAGAAATATGGTGGGTAGAGACGCACAAATCCCTCCCCACTAGCATAGCGCTGCTCTTCTTCCCCCGCTGTGGGACCTTGCTCTTTCCCATTGTCTGGCTGGCCACGAAGGCCAAGTCGATGGCAAAGGTCTCAACCCATCTTCCACACTCCATAAACTTTGCGACTGGTGTCGAAACTGTTCTGTGGCGTCTTTACCCCACATCACAGCGTGTACACTGGTAAGCTCGGTCTGCGAGGTGCTGGATTCGTGCTGGTGGTGGTGCTCTTCAACCATGAACCCTCTTCGAGGTCGCGAATAGAATTAGCGTTTAGTAATAACAGGGGTATTGAGAACTGAATGATTTTTTCAAGATCGAATAGTCGAAATGTGGCCAAAAGAGCGAATACCACCGCCGGCATGGGCAATGTTCATGTTTGTGTTTCTGGCGTCCGAGGTGTAGTTCTGATCGTGAGCTTGGGAACTATTATCAAAGATGTTAGTAGGCTTGTCAGCGCGCATGATAAAAGGGTATCGACTTACTGCTCATCCCATATCCCTCAGTTCTCCCCTCTCGGTCTTGGTTGTCGATCTCGACCTTGATTGCCACATTCAGGCCCCCCCTCAGTTGCGGGCCGACCGCCTCTGAGCTGATACCATCTGCAGCTAGATGTGTTGTTCCCGCCCCTTCCTCACCGGCATGTAGGTATCCGTGTCCGTCGGGCGCACCCTTGTTCGTGTGGGGACGAGATTTGCCCTTCTTGCCCGTTGTACTCACCGCAGGTGAGATCGACGGTGGATACGCAGAGCCATTAGCGGTACCATTTGCAGGCTGCGAGTCTTCATCATCGGCAACTTCAGTGATACATGCGTAATTTCTGCTTGGCATCGTGCATTGATTCCAGTCGGCACCTTTCATCACGCCCCCTGGTTGTTTGTTGAACATCTTGAGGAGTGTCTCATCGGTATTTCCATCCCTCAAATGGTGGATTTTATTTCTCCGCGCTAGCAAGTTCGCCACAGCTCGAGGAGGTGGTTTGTTAGTGATAGCACTGGAGATAATGTTCGCCATGTATCGCGGATCTTCGACTGGATCCATGTTATCCGCAGGGTTCGAATAGAAGCGACCTAATGCTGCAAGGTGTACATCTCCTCCGAGGATAGTGACTCGAACGGAGAAGTCTGTAGAGAGTTTCTGTAGTCGAAGAACCAACTCGCGCCGTTCGGTCTTGTGGTGGCGCGCCGTGTAGTGGTCGTCCAGGTCATCCAGGAGATCAACAGAGCCATCGAACGAGTTGAAAAAGCCTCCGGCGAAGCCAAACCTCTTATTCAGCAAGCGAACCGGGGCAATCAAGGGCGATGTCAGGATGTTTTCTAGCCACGCGAGCCGGGGATATGCGATGGGCACACCAAGGAGGAGAATCAGGTGCTTGATTTCTCCATGTGCTTCCCTAAACTCCTTCTCCAGTCTCTCAAAGATCAGGTCGTACGTGTCTGGATAATTGACTTGTTTCCTTGTTCGTTCCGTCCTCGCGTCAATGCCACAGAAAGCGATGCGGCGACCCAGGCGCATGTACAGGTTTCTCGATCGTTCCTCGACGTACGGGCCAGGGCGTTTGCCAACAATCCAACTTGGGTCGTCTGCTGTCCTTTTGTACACATACGTATTGTTCAGTTGACGCGGATCAACTCCTGCCGTACCATTGGCGTTAGCACCCATGGTCTTGGGCGCATCCGTGGTGAACGTTGAGACGGGTGGGGCAGTGTGATGCTGGAACAAGCAATAGTACTTGAAACTGACACCACCGAGGCCACGGAAGACAGCACATCTCATGAAATGGTCGGTGTAGGAACCGAACCCGTCAATGATGTCGTGGTCGTCCCAAATATTGATCTGGGCGATTTGAGAATTGGCCGAGGCGAAGGGTTCTGTGGAATACCATCGGATGTAGTTCTCAAAGTAGTATTTGTCGCATTGCTCCCTGAGGTCCCCACTGAAAGGGTATTCTCGCCTCTTCTTAGGATTGGAAATGGACGTCCACTCCTTCAATGGGCCCTTGACCCGGATCGAATCGTTGTAAATCTGATCACCTCCGCCAATCATGACATGGAAAGGGCGCTGCGCATGAGTGCGCAGGACGTCATTCCACAAGACAGGTCCTAGATGATTCCTGTCAGCGTACTCATGCATTATCTCTCATACTCGACCCAAAAACACTTACCTGACCAGAAATCTTCATCCGTTCCGACCGAGAATCCATTGCAGGAGTGGAACATGATGCGCATCGATTGTGTGGCAGAAGGCACTACAAACTGCCTGGACGGTTCCTTGGAGACATCGGTGAGGAATTGCATGTTTGGGATCGAGTACTGCCATTTTGCTTCGGCCTCAACTAGAGGTACCCTGAGGCTGAACCGCCAGAATGTCTTATCCGGATCCGAGTAAAGCTTCAAACCCTGTACCGTTTGCGACGGCAAAGACTTCAACTTCGTGCCAGATTCCAACGCTCCCAGGCTCTTCAGTTCCAGCTCCGGAGTGTTGTTGTTGGGTGTAGTGACGAGGAGGACGGAGCCGTGCCAGAACACATTCGAGGGCCCTTCATCGCTCATACGTTGGTAATTCAGCAGAGGGCCACAAAGGACGTCGAAGTGGGAGCTGGAGTTGGTGATTTCGGGACCAGTCCCGTGGCCATCCCGCGACTCTGCGGTGCGCAGGGACTGGCCTCCGTCCGTGTTTCCGTCTGGGTGCGCTGGCAGCAGGCATTGTTAGCCAGATATGCAGGTTAGCTGGGGTCGAGGGGAACGAAGCTCACCTTCCATTGAGGGTAACAGGTCCACTGTCCAGCAATACCAACTTGTTTGCGACTAACAATTGAATCGGCAGCTCACTGTGCCCGTTGACGAGAGGCTAGAGGCGTTCCTTCAGTACGTTCAATACCCGAGTAAAGTGTCCACGTAAAGAGGAGAGCCAAGCTCTAGGTAGTAATAGTAGTAACACAGGGAAGAAGAATGCGGGTCGAGAGAATAGAAGCGAAATCAAGGAGAGGAAGTTGTTTACAGCGGCCACAGCTCAAAATAAATTCCGAAGCAGAGGGGAGATTTCAGAAGGATACGGGCCAGGAAATAGTAGTTTCACGAGGGGGCCAGATGTGCTAGCGATGCAATCTGATGTGTCCCTCGTGGGATTCACAATGCAGTCGATCGGTCCCAAGGTTGTGAGAGGCGTGGAGGGCTTGGCCAGACGCATTATAATTGTTTGTACTCGTACTGGGTAGGTACTCCGGACTGCGCTTTAGCTGGGTCATGTATGATGACGCCAAGGGGGTTCGCGCCCAGGCTGTACTGGTGCACACCACCCTACTCTACAGTGCTCTGCCCACTGTGGTATAGGCGTGGGCCTCAGCCCCGGGTGGATTGGAGAACGGGTTCCCTCGGCACCACTAGGCCTTACTGACCAGCCACAGGCAATCACCCACAGCAACGCCATCCCATCCATCAGTGGGTCTCGTTGGCGAACTGCTCCAGCTGGCTCCCGCCCGCCCCTGGCTGAACTGGCTCTCGGACATTTGCTTTGACTATTGGGTGAATGTGTAGCGAAGTAGGTACAAAGTCATTAGCATGTACTCGGTACCTCGTATAACTTGCATATCCGATGTCTTGTAGATAGCAAATACTCTGTGTTTAGTACTACCAGCATAATTCTTCTCTGTCGATCTATTCCGCCATAGGCTGGCACCTTGCTATAGACGTGCTCTGACAGGTCACATTCCCTCCCAAAACCTGAAATTTCAAGGCTCATTAGCCAGCATCCACCATGCGCGCCTCGTCTCTCATTCGCTCTAGCCACCATGATAGGCATCAGCCACAATGCTTAACTTTGACCCTGACGCATGCCTGTTTGACCTTTTTCAGCTGGTGGTTGTACCTCGTGTTCTAAAGGAGATCGGAACTTGTGCCCAGTCAGCTAACAAGTCCATGACCCCTGCAACCCCCATTCAGCGCTCGTTCTGACCCTAAAAGACATCCGTTGCGCCACTGCTAACAATGTTTTCACATAAAGCCACTTGCTCGTATGCATGAATCTTCAGTCGTGGATATGATATACTTAGCCCCACTTACTCCTTGTCGTCCTTGGGCTGAGGATCGCCAATTCCACTGTCATAAATGGCAAACAAAGTGTCGCTCTCTGGCAAACATGGACTGTCGTAGATCTTGCAGATCCGAGTCTCGCCTCGACCTTTTTTCAAGCTCAGCCTGGTAGTGCTTGCATGTGCTATAATGTTGCCGCCGATGGGTTTCTTCGGGTCTGGGTTGAACATGGCGCTGGGGCCGCCGTCCACTTGTGCAACCACTTGATTGGTGATGACCACTGCAATGCCAAACTCGTCCGCAAGTCTTTGTAGCGTGCGTAGAAATTTCGCCATGTGCGATTGTCGTGATGAGAGCTCTCCTCGGCCGTTATAATCTGTTCGGTACAACGAAGTCGCCGAATCAACAATCAGCAACGAGAACCGGGTTTCACACATCATCTGCGACGCTTGCTGGAGCAGTTGCAGCTGGTGCTCAGAATTGTATGCCCGAGCGTAAGCAACATTGTCCAGGACTTCTTCCCCCTCGAGGCCATATCGCTGTGCAACCGACAGCAGACGAATGGGGCGGAATGTGCCTTCGGTGTCGATGTATAAACATTTTCCTTCTCCGCCACCCATATCAAAGGGTAACTGGCATGTAACCGCCATTGTGTGGCAAATCTGACTCTTCCCAGTGCGGAACTCGCCAAAGATCTCTGTGATGGAGCCCGTCTCGATGCCACCGCCGAGGAGTCGGTCAAGGTTCTTCGAGCCAGTGGTTATCGAGATGAGATCACTTCTTCGGGCATGCATCTCGGTGGCGGTGGTGAAGCCCATGGGCACCAGTTTCATTGCTGTCACACATCAGCGCAGAACGTCAAAGATGTGATTGTCTCCAAACCTTCATTCAAGAGCTTCGAGGCCTTTGCCTCTGATATGCCTTTGATCTGTTCTAATTGTCTGCGCGGCCTGTATAAACTGGTGAGCTCGGCCACGGTCTGTTTAGGAGGTTGGCAATTACGTGTATGCAATCGACTCGACCGTGTGATAGCCGCCTTCGGTGACCAGTTTGATGTCTCTTTCAGTCAGACCTGCAACCCCCTAACAGAACGACTCAGTCCTCTGGAGAGCGGAAAACTAGATTGTTGACGAAGCTTACCACCAACTGAGAAATTGGGATGGGTGCTCCAGGGCCCCCAGGCATGTCCTCGTACTCATCCTGAGGGGCGTCAGTGCTCTCAATTTGCGTCATGACGGTCTTCTCAAGCACAGCGCGTATGCGACGTCGGCGAGAATACAGCGACGAGGGTCGAGAGGCCAAATATTCTGGAGGAAGCAGTTGCTCTGTGGAAAGTAGGGTCCCGTGGACGAGGTGGCCAAAAAGAAATCGCGCGTTGCTTTGGGTGCGTAACGCCTCGACGCGTCTAGTAGGTTGACGTGCAGCCTAAGCCCCCCGGAACAACGTTCTACCAGAACGCGAGAGCACGTGATACTTTTCGTCATCAAGACTCCCGCGTTCATGTACCTACACCTCCCTTTTACGCACCCACGCACCTCCGCACCTCAGTCCCCGGCCATCTCTACAAGTCAGATGAGACGATCTGAGAATTCCCTTATCCATGTCAAGGAAATACGTTGATTCTCCAGCCGGAAACAGTCTTGTTCATCCTAGTTCAAATAGTCGCCCCTTGTTCCATCTGCCAGATCCGTCTCCTGCCAGTCGATGTTCCATGCGTTGCACGCTTGAGAGTAGTTGTACATTGCTCACCCTTCCCGTTCTTTCCCTTCCATTATGGGATTTTCCAGCCTTCCCAGCCTCCCAGGTAAGTGGTGATGTCCTTCCGGATCTCCCTTGCTAAAAAGCCCATGTCGTCACTCACAATGCTTTTCGAGTCCCCGCCCCCAAGTCCCAGGTTGCAAACCTACACACTTCGCAACTCCACGGATCCCTTTTTTGGTTCCTTGCGCCGTAAAGAAAACGTGCTGCCAGCATTGAGCAATATCATTCTATCCATCTGGTCACATATCCCATGAAATCTGCGTCTTCCAGCAAACGGGCCATGTCTGCTTCTGCCAACTGTATGACCGCCTCAAGTTGATCCTTCCGGTCATCGAATGGCAAGATGATGCACGAGCCAGGATCCTTACTCCAGGGCTTCCGCACCCAGTCTGGCCGACCGAGGCCCATTTCGAAGGTCGAATCGTAAAAATTGAGCCTCATCCAGCTCGTGATGTACATATCTGCCCCATTCGTCCGGTCCATGTTGCTCGCTTGCAAGTCTCGGATGTCGATCTTCGGATTTGGATACGTTGCCAAAGCAATCGCTTGTCGAATATAGGGCTCGTCGACGCAGTTGATGGCCTTGCGGACTGCCAATGCCGTCTCAGTCATCGACGGTACACTATTGTCCGCCAAGTGGCTGAGGGGCAGTTGCACAGAGGCAAAATCGACCGCGGCTCCGAAGTAGGACTCTGACAGCGGCTTCCTCAGCTTTCTGCGGATATCAACAGGAATAAGAAGCTTCGAGGTTGTGACATCTGGCACAGAGGGGATTCTAGCCTTTGTCATTCCATGCCAGACCAGAGCCAGCAAAGCGTCATGTTGTGTCACGAACGCGCCGTCGGCGTGAGCTTGGAGCCCTTGCTTCAACTCATCCAGCTTCCTCGAGGGAAAGGCAAAAACGCAGCCACGACCCCGAGGTTTGATGGGTTCATCGTCTGTAGGTATCGGGTGTGCCGTTTTCCACTTCAGCTCCCGATTAGTGATCTGATTGGCGAATGGGTAGGACAGCTCCCTTCTGACAATACTCATGCGAGTAGCGAATGCGTCCAGTCTCATCGAAAGACTTGGGATATCGTGACCGCGGGTATCCAAGTGACGGTCAAACGTGTATTCATCGTCCAACACACTACCTGAGGCGAGCAAGCCAAAGCCGGTGCCATCAGAGATGCAGTGGTGGAGGTAGACAGACACAATGATGCCGCCTTCCACCACATTTGCCTGGACTCTGAAAACGGGAGCCCGGTGCTCGTCAGCAGACTCGCCCAGCGCGGAGACCAGCTCAGGCTTGATGACGCTGGGTGGTAGGCCTCTTTCGCAGATCTCGTCATAGGTGTAGGGGAACTCTTCGCAGGTGAATCGACGTACACTGACGTTGGGATATTCAAGGAAATCCGTATCGGAAAATCGGATCTCGACTGCACCCACCCGATTTCCTGGGTTGTCCACGGCCACCACATATCCACTCAGATATGGCTTCGCGTCGACAGTCTTCCGAACGAAGCGATTTAACTTCTCCACCACCTCTGGGAGTGCTTCGGAGCTCGGTAAGCGATACGCAAAACAGATGCGGATGTACGACCGAGGCATGCAGTGCTCGATACTGGACAACTGAATGACGTGATCTGAGCCCGGGTGATCATAGGGCTCGAGAGCGGTATGGACGTCTGGACTGATAGAACGGCCGATACCGTTGGTGGGGATTGCAGATCCATTCGTATGAAGGTCGTCGGACGGATCATGGTCTGTATTGTTCTCGGAGGGGTTAGAGGTCGTGGGTGAAGCACTGTCCGGACTGGAGCCGTTCACGAAGTCTGACATTGTGTCGTTCTTGAAGGTATCGAGTTCTTGAGTGAAATCAGTCATATGGAGCTATTCCTTGAGAATGATGTTTACCAGGGCAAGCGTAAGGCAAGAGAACAGGAGTGAGGTTGGCTGACAAGGAATTCTTGTTGCTTATTGGGTTTCGCCAGGTTGGTCTGAGGGCATTCTGTTGGAGAACAAGCATGGCTGGCGGATTTTTATGAAGGTCCCTCGAGGCGTCACTGCCTGGAGGTGAATACCGTGTCGAGGGGCAAGAGCAAGGGGCAGTCACCATCCGGTAGTGAGTCGATATCACCCCGGGGACGTGACGGTAAACTGAGATGTCTTTCTGTGCTAACAAACAGGCAGAGAAAGCGTCCGCGGTCACCACAAGCTCTCAACAGGTCAAGTCTAGGTGACGTTCAGGTGAAGCTGGAAAGACAGGACTCTACTCTGCGAGTCCACCCTGTCAATATAAACAGGTCGTGGGCCTGTCTACTTGGGCAAAATGACGGACAAGCCAATCATGTCCCGGCAGGCTGATGGTTGCGCAAACGTAAGAATCCAACCCCAGAGTGAGAGAAAGACTCATTCAACAGCCATACTGCAATTGACTAGCCCAGCCGGACAGAGACAGAGACGAAGGGAACTAAATAGACGAAGACATCCTAGGAGAACCAGAGCAGAGGTAAGAGGATAGCCCAGTGTAGATGAAGGGTGAGGAATTGGTTGCCTTTCTACGCAAAGGACCGGATGCTCTGTGATCGTTGTGGGGAATGGGATGGTTAAAACTTACGTGCCCGCTTTGCGCCTCTGCAGCTCGACCCATGTGGCCTTGTCTATTTCTTTCCCCTAGTTATCGGGTTAGCGCTGCCCGTTTGAGAGAGGTGCGTGATGTCTGGGCTCGCCAGGGAGCGGAACCACCCAAACTTCCCTGGGCCGATAGACCTTGACGAGACCGCACCCAAGGAGAGACGGACAAGGAAGAGATAGCCAGCGTGCCAGGCTCGCAGCAATGAATCGGGCAAGCTGGATATCTCAAAAATTGCGGTGCGATCGTTAGCAAGTCTGCAAGGCAAGCGATTGACAGAGATGAGCGACGCACAGGGACAAGGGCAGGGCGTCGGTCCCTGGCGCTGTGTCACCTCGCCACTCTGCCGACGCGAAGGCAGTCAGCCTCGCTCGTCAATGTCCCGTTGGTGCCGTTGGCCTTTTGGGGGAGCGAGGGAGGTCATCCCAGGGCCCACCAGATGCAGTCGATACAGTGTGGAACACATTATTGATACATTGAATGCGGCCAGTGGACTCGCACAGCTAGCTCACGCCGGTTCTCCCAACTCATCCAGGAGCAGTAAGAAAGCAGGGGGAAAGGAGAAGCACGACTCGAGAAGTGCAGCACGATCTTGGGTCAGCTGAGCGACACAGGCGGTGGAGGTCCGGCTTGCAGATCGGCGGCGCGGTGCTGGTGCAGGCACGGAGAAGGGAGGTGCGTGTGAGCAAGACGCTCGAAAGCCAGGACGAACAGGCGAAGCGGCCAATGGTGGAGGGTAGCAGTCCGCAAGCGAGCCGTCTGCTTGACATCGAGCACTACTGCGGCCTGCATGATGAAAAGGGTGTGTGGATTTTGTGGGAGGAGAAAGGACAAGTGGTCTTGGATAAGAACAAGATAGCAACAGTAGTGGTCAGAGAGTGGCATAGTCGTTGACAGGGGTGTCTGAGAGAGCATGGGCCACACCCTTGAGGGGGGCAGATGGTCCAGGGTTACCCGCCCTAGCTCTGCATCGAAGGGCTCATCGTTGACCGTTCGGTCACATTTTCCAGACGAATGATTCCTTGATGGGCGGCATGATGAAATGATCTATTAGCCGAGAATAGCATTGCGGGAGCATGTCTCCGGATGCCCTGGGGAGCAGGGGAGGAATGCCTCGATTTTTGTCGGCTTGTGTGTTTCCTGGCAAGACAAAAGTGGGAGAGGGGCCAGAGATGCAAGCCAACGGGGAGTTTGAGATTTGCAGAGAACAGGTTTGAGTCCCACGGCCCCAGTAAGACACGCCCCGGAAGGTTCTTTCGTCAACGAGCTTCAGGAATCGAAGGCGGTTCAAGCTCGGTTGCACCACCTAACTCAGGCAAGACTAGCCCTGTCCAAAGGCTTGAAGCCCAAGGAAGAGCACATGGGGATGAGGGAGTGCGTAACGCGAACGGCTTGACAAGAGGCGTCTCACCCCAAAGGCAAGCCGCTCAGGCTTCGGAGGTTCGGGTGTTCGCTCAGAGTGCAGCGTCGCAAGGGCGAAGAAACTCGTCCAGACTCGTTTCCCAAACTCTCGTGCTCTACTCGGTACTCGAAGGCTGACGAACGACAAGCCCTGGTGATATTCTTCAATGGTCCATCCAGCGTGCTGTCAACCATCCACGATAGGACCATTTGTGGGCTTTTCGAAGCTGGGGGGTGCCTGTTTGCACCGTTCGACGGGGAAGCTGGATTCCCCGGAAGGGGCAGCCTGCAGTTCCGCGTTTCCAGGGTGGTTGGCTCTAACCAGGGGCTTGCTGGCAATCCTAGGAGTAGGGTTTCTTAGGGCCTCGGGCTAAAACTTCCTCAGCCCAAACCTGTCCCGTAAAGAAACCCAGTGGAAATGCACAATTCCGATTGCTGGTATGTGGGTGTTCTCTAGGCCCTTCTTCCTCAACCAACGTCTTTGCAAACTTTCAACATGGACACTGAAAATTGGGTGATTTCTCAAAAGATCGCCTGTTTTGGGGGGTTGCAGTCTCTGATCAACCAGCCCTTTGCGAGTCGACGCCGGAAGCGGGACGCACGGCTGCTGGAGGGTTGAAGACTCCCTGTTGTCTTGCGCATCTCCACACATAACAGATGCGGCAAATACTTGGGGGGGGGGGGTTATTGCTTTGTTGTCCCAGCTGGTGGACCAGATACCACAACACGGAGTAAGCCGTTACAGGGTGTTATAAGACCGCAGCCAGTTTGGAAACATTTCCTGCATTGGATGGGTGGCTTTTAGGTCGAAAACTTTCCGGCATTGAGCCATGGTCGCGGTCTTTGCACGCAGAAGCGAAAGGCGCCATTGTGGGATCTGCACAGTTCTCCTCGAAGGCTCTCCTTCTGCTGGATAGTCCATGTCATTGAGCAGGGTCTGTGGCTGGCAATACCAGCGTGTCATTCTTACTCAGGAACGTGTATTCGTGCTTGCTTTTTGCTCGCGTGTCGACTCGACCCACCTTGTTCGCCCTGTAGTCATGTCACCCTTTACGGTGATGCCGGACTGGAGTTTCGACTACGTACAGCGTACATGCAAAAGAAAATCCCATTGTAACGTGTAGAGGGGGTTTAGCAGGCATGGCACCCAACGCACCCGGCTTGAGTGACTGGGGTGTCGGTCCCCGTGCTCGCATATGGATTGTCGGTGGATTCACCGCTTTGATGATGGCACTTGCATAATCGTCAGTTTTTATGACCTTGTTTTGTTCGTAGTGGAACGCCCGGAAGGCAATCAACGGGAAGTCTCTGACAGGTGGTCATGGGTAAGCGATGGCTTGCGGCATGAGAGATTTTGGTCCCAAAGGGCTCAGTGTGTCTGAATGACCGCCTGACCTGTGCGTCGTGAGGATGTTGGCAAGGCCTCAGAAGCATTTCGGCGCACGCCAGACCTAGGCATTGGGAATGGCCGGGTCAGCATCGATGACAAGAGACAGAGGTGTGCGCCACCAGATGTTGCCTGTATTACGGAGGCTGAATCCGAAGTTGTGATGAAGTCTGAACAGCCATTAAGCTTCGAGGTCGACCAATGTTCCGTCAACCCACGCGGAGCGAATACTACTTTGTAAGGACGACTTCTCCGCTCTCTGCCGCCTGGGAAGTCCCCTCAAGTCGCAGGAACAAGCAGCAATGCCACGGGGGGAGGGCGGATGGAGGGGATATTGTGGCGCCCTCCATTTGTACCTAAAATGGTTGCTTCTGAACTGTGTGGCGGTGCCTAGCGTCATGTGGATACTATCGATCTGGAGGATTTAGGCGCTGTGTCCACCACTTGTTGGGCCCCGATCGGGATGGTCCCTCCCGTGTGACTGACTTGGTGAAGAGCGGTACCCTTGTGCAGCCATGAAACTTGTTTGGCAATCCCATCACGGCTCCGACATCAAGCGCATGCTAAAGCTATCCGCGACGCCTTGCTCGGGGTTATTGGAAGTCCAAGGCATCGACTTAGCGGTCGCCCGTGCTCGTTTGGCGGCGATTCGACTTCATGCATGCTCTGCAGGATCAAAGATGCCTCATGTGGAGACAGTCAGACGTCCAAGGCAACCAGTGCATCGTGGATGTAAAAAGTATTCGGCTGTCTTGTGCTACCGTACAATGATCCTTGCTTAACTGAGCACTGTGGCAGCCGTTCCTGGACGCTCCGACTGTGGCCAGCTGAAAAATAGGACAGCACGAAGTGTGCAATACGAGGAATTGCCTTTGCAAGCTGTTAGCGGTGACCGGCCAAGGTCTTCTTTCTGGCAGCCAGCTGCCTGGGATAGGAAGATGACGGTCCAGAAGGGGAAGCAGCCCACACACCATCAAACTCCAGCACCAGGTTGCCGTGTTCTTTGTGCTCTGGCTCAATCACGCGCACGGCTCCTCGATGTCACACTTGTCTAATGCAAGCTCTTGGGCATCGCCGGCTACAGGTGGAAACATTGACAACGAGACGGAGGAAACTGGACGGTCCCCTCCACAGGTAACAGCCCATGCGAGAACCTGAGGATCAGTGATGATTTCTGCCAGGGTACCTTGAGGTATCTTTTACATACAGGAGCCATCAAGGGTAGGAGACATGCACTGTGGATTCGGAACTTTGAGCCGCGACGCGAACAACGAATTACCAGGCTCAAGGTGTGTCTCAGGGCAAGTGATGGTAAGGGTAGGCGAGTCTGAAGGTAGTCGGCTACTGCGAGGGGAAGAGTTCCTGGATCTTGGGATCCATCTCGGGCAGGAGTGAAGCATGGCTGCATGGGAAGATATTGGCTGAGACGTCTGGACGCTACCTTTGCATGTCGCAGAAGCAATAACAACAAGATTTTGACTCACCATCCTCCCCTTGCAAACAAGAAGAGATCCAAAGAAGCCGACGGGGCGTGGGGAAGTAACCAGTCACCCAGTAGAAGAGATGGAAGGGCAGATCATGCATTAGGCGGGTTGGATGCTGCACGGTGGTGCACGGTGGTGGCCGCAGGTGACCGCAGGTGACCACGGTTCTCCGCCATTAATTGGGAAGGTGTGACGATCGCGACTTCCACCTTTCCACCTTTCCAGCCCAGGCTGCGCTAGTTGGGCACCTTGCTAATCACCACCATCGCCCATCCATGTCACACCTCGTATAATATTGATTGTTTCTCGCTCTGATCTACTCTTCAGCTCTGATGCTCACAGCCCGGCTTGATCTCTGCCAGCAGAATATCCTCGGCATGTCCTCTCCGTTCCCCACCTTCCGACTGCCCCGTGAGGTGGTGTAAATGTCAGGCTGTCGTCTTCCTCCCCACCGGGCTGGCTGCGGAGCCATACCGATTCTTCAAACATGACTTGGTCTCGAGATCAAGAATGAACCTCACCCAAAGACATGTCTTGTCTGCCGCCATTGCAGCGTTCATCGCTTGGGGTCTTGCAGTCCGCGCCCTTCCCGTCTTGCGCTTTCTGGGCTACGCTTTCACACTTGGCTCCCTGGTCACTCTTGTGACTCTGCTTGCAGTAACCTTGAGTGTATCTCGGTCGCGCCCGGCATGTCAGAGTCTGTCCTCACCTCCCAATGTATCCCCTGCCTTCCTTCTTCCTCCGAAGTGGGATCCCGAAATATCAGTCCTCCGGGTCTCCCAACAATACCAACCCCTACATCTCTACGACCAATCCTTTGTGGTCTCCCAAGCCCTCGAGGCTCTCATTGGTCTTGCGCTTCGCGACTTCGTTTCTTCCTGGTACCAGAACATCTCCAAGAGTCCGACTTTTGTCAATGAGGTGGATAGGAACATTCGCGCCGCGTTGGTGGAGATTAGAGACCGGATTCTCGCCGAGGACATTGTCAATGTGCTCGTGTCCAAGATTGTACCCTTGATCACCGCACATCTGCGTGACTTTGATCAGGCCGAGCGAGCTGTTCGAGGCCGCAGCCTGAACCGCAATGTCACCGAATCAGAGGAACTGGAATTGGCCATCGCAGCCAAGTACAAGGATGGCAAGCTACACCCTGCGGCGGCCCTTACTTACTCAGACACAAAGACCGTGCAGCAAGAACATCTCCGGAAAACCTTGGTCCGCATTTTACCGGACCTTTTGTCCCCGAGCATGATGGGCAGCCGCGCTACTCTGGTGCTGGTGAAGGAAATTGTCGCTGGCGCCGTGCTGTTTCCAATCATGCAGCTACTTTCCGATCCGGATACGTGGAATCAAATTGTTGAAGCATATGGGCGTACTGCATTACAAGATCGAAAGACAGTGCGCAGAATGAGAGCGGCTTTGGATCAACACGCATCTCCAGTCCCAAGAAACAGACCCGGCCAGGAGTTGCCCCGTTTAGCTCCCAATGACAGCGAGCGCGCCTTTGAGCGATTTGTTAGAGCCATTCGCAAAACCAAGAACCTATCGGATGCTCGGCGATTTCGGAACTCGGTCGTTAGCCAGATTCAGCGCGAGAGCCTTGTCGAAGGTCAGGATCCCGTCTATCTGCGAAGGTTGGAAATGGCCAAACGCGTACTGGACCAAAAGATTGCAAAGCTCACCCAAACTGGACCCGTCCCGCCGGCGGCGCTACCGCAGCTTGACTCTCGCCCCATTCCAGCCTCAAAACCTCGCGAGTGGTCCATGGTGGAGATCATGCACACTGCCTCGGGATTGTCATATTTCATGGAGTATATGGATCGTCAGAATCGTATGTCTTTGGTCCAGTTTTGGGTGGTGGTCGACGGCTTCCGCAACCCTCTCGAGGACGATTTTGGGGATGAGTTAAACCCCGGCATTCAACAAAGTTGGACTGATGCAGATCGTATGGACATTGCTCAAATTAGTGAAAAATACATGCTGAAAGAAGAACTCAACATCCCACAAGAATCCAGGGACGCTATCAAGGCATTCCTGGCCGCTGGTCGGAAAGCAACTCCTCAACAATATCGAGCCGCTAGAACTGCCATCTTGGCCGCTCAGTCGGCTGTGTTGGAAGAGCTAGAAACACGGCACCTGCCAAACTTTAGAAAATCTGATCTCTACTACAAATTTCTGGCTTCTGCCGAAGCGGCCGCCGCACGTCCTCGCCAGCAGAGTACGGGTAACCTTGCGGAGGGAAACGGGCAGGTTGGGGCAGAGACGACCAGAGCTCCAACCCAGGCTATGACAAGAAGCAGTTCGCAACTCGCCATACGAAATAAGGATCTAAGGCGAGCTGCGGTGTCGTCGTCAGATGTTCGAAGCCTGGCCTCCTCCAAATTATTTGAGGATGGAGATCTTGCCAAACGGTCTAGCGGTTCCACACCCCTGTTCGATGATGGTTACGACACTGACCCCTTGGCACATTCCACTAACAGCCTTGGACACGAGTCTCTGAATGGTGAGTCCTTAGATCAGCGTCAAGTCATCGAGAACATGGAGGCAGCAATGAACAACATCATGACAGACAGTCCGATGGACGAAACAATGGGCTACGACGACGATACCCTGTTTGGCTCCCCGGTATCGGTGACCAAATCTTCGAAGAACTTCGACTCACCGCGAAGCTCCCTCGACATCCCCAGCAGCGAACAGGCCAATAAACCCAAACCCAGCCTGGCAACACTTGGACTTGTCAATACTTCCTCTCGTATAGGTGTGTTCACCGACAACGACCTCTTTCCTGACGAAGAAAAGTTCATCGAAGATGAATATGTCGACAATGACGACAGTAAAGGAGACGGCGTAGACGAAGATGAGATCCACGAAGCTGCGCCCGGAGATCTCGGTCTTGCCGAAGCGATTACAGCTCTTAACAACGACATAGAGCGCCTAGTGGCCCAGGAATCGGTGGTGGACACATTGACGCGCAAGGCAGAACTAACAAACAACGTCGCCGAGCTGCGTATTCTGAACAAATCGAAATCAAGTCTTCAAAGGGAAATCCGCCGGAAAGAACTTCAACGTCAGCAATACATTGTCCAAGAAAGCGACAACAGTTTGTACGGTCGATCCAGCATCTCCATCAAGTCCGTTGTGGTGGGAAAAGAAGACGACGGGCGAGAATTTGCATTGTACGTTATTGAAGTTCAGAGGCAGGCTGGTGATCAGATGCCAGCCGCAGCGTGGGCAATTCCTCGACGGTATTCTGAATTCCATGAATTGCATCAACGACTACGACGCAGATATCCTTCCACGAGGAATCTTGAATTTCCTAGAAGAAGGGTTGTCATGAAACTTCAAAAGCAGTTCCTGCAGAATCGACGTCTTGCACTTGAACATTATTTGCAGCAGTTGCTCCAAATGCCAGATGTATGTCGCAGCAGAGAACTGCGCTCGTTTCTCTCACAATCAAGCATCAAGTCGCACCAGGACACGAGTAAAGAATCCAATGCACAAGATATCGTGACCCGGATTTATAATTCTGTCACTGAGGGCATGGACGAGTTCCTGGGTAATGTGTCGGTCCTGGACCAACTCTCGGTAGCCGGACAGAACCTGATATCGGCTGCCACAAATCAGTTGGGAATGAACCAGGCTGACATTGTGCCTCTGGAGCCTGGGCCGGTGGCCGAGGCCGAGGCCGAGTTGGCAGCTTTCGAGGACAAAGAACTGGAACCTTTTGTGAAACCAATCTGTGACATATTTCTCGAAACTTTTGAGTTGAATCGAGGCAACAACTGGCTGCGTGGTCGTGCCGTGATTGTGGTCCTCCATCAACTGCTCGGAGGCACGGTTGAGCGCAAAATTCGCGAAATCTTTGCAGGCTTTGTTCAGGAGGAGTCACTGCTCAAGTACATTGACATGATGAAGGAAACCATGTGGCCCGGCGGTGGCAAGCTGAGAGAAACCAAACCACGAACGGGGGCAGAGAAGAAGAAGTCAAAGTCGGAAGCAGCTCTGATGTTGGCCACGCTGATCCCCGATCTAGCTGGCAATGTGGTGGGAAGAGCCAATGCGCAAGCAGCTGCTAGAAGAATTACGGCCACCATGAACAACGCCCGACTCAATCAGCATCTTGTCTTTACAATTCTCGACGAGATTGTTGCGGTGTTGTTTGATCCGGCAAAGAAGGGGAGTCTCTCCTGATACATTATTGTGTGAGAGCATTGGAGGAGTTCAGGCACAAAAAGCATGTCGCGAGTTTGGGACCTATTCCGAGTGTATCATCTTGGCTGTTCACATGGACAGCTTTGATCCCAAAAAGGGGCTTTGTATATAGAGATAGAGCAAGCGAGCATGCGCCTATGACTCTCTCTGCTAGGTCTCCCGTGACCTTGGGATATCGGAAAAGAGAGGTTCAGATGATACTAATAGATGAATGTTTGGTTTAGAATGATCGGTTTCTGGGTGTAGCTTTGAGTGTCCTGTAGTTTGCACCAGATGGCCTGTCTACCTAGCATTCATTGAGAGGAAGAGAGCAAGAGGGATGACGTCGCTGATTTGATCTATAGATGTATTCCGTGAATAGGCGTGTATTACTGACCCTTATGTATGTATTCCGCAGACCCGCCAATGTCTTACGAAAGCCCACGCAGTATTTATCTATCTATCTATCTCAACCTGAGCAGGACGGCTCGAACGCCTTGTACACCTGTTCTGAGCAGCTCGCGGACGATGTCCTTTGTCCTCTGCAGGCCGTGCTTGCGGGTGAAGACGATGGACCAGACGAGGCCGACAAGGCCGGCGAGCCTGAGGGCGCGGGAGGCGGCGAGCTTGACGTGGCCCTTGGTGGTGTACTTGAGGTCCCAGTGGCGCCAGACGGGGAACATGCAGCGGAGGGTGAAGTCGACCTGGGTGCGCGGGTAGACGGTGGCGTTCCAACCCGTGGCGGCATCGTTGTACCAGTTGACGCAGCCGCCGGACATGAAGACACTGTTGCGCAGTTCGCGCTGCAGGTCCGCCGTCCACTTGCGCTCGGCGCTCTCCTTGACCTCGACGGTAGAGACATCGCCGCGCAGGACAGGCCCGATAAACTTGAGCGAGTAGTTGACCATGTTCTCGCTCGCCAGGATCACCGAGCTATGGCCCGTCGCCGTGTTGGGGCCGAAGATCATGAAGAAGTTGGGGAACCCGTCCATCGCGGTGCCCAGGTACGCTTGGGCGCCGCCGCGCTCGTCCCACGTCTTGTACAGCGACCGCCCTTGCCGGCCCGTCACGTCCAGCGGGTGCAGCCACTGGTTGGTCTCGTAGCCATTGGCCATGATAATGACGTCGGCCGGCACCGTACGCTGCTCGGTGGGCGCTTTGGAATCCGTCTTGGACATGGGCGGGTATAGGCGGCCAGGGCCCAGGGTCACCGACCGCGGCTGAATAGATGTGATGGGCAGCGTGGTGATCTCCACGTTGGGCAGGGAGAGGGACTGGAACCACCCGTCATCCACGATGCGTCTCTTGCAGAAGACTTCATAGTCCGGCGTCAGGATCTCGTGGTACTCCTCCGGCACCGTCTTGTGGAGGTAGGCCAGGAGCTCCTTGGCCTTCTTCTTCCGTCGCTGCCTCGCGGCCTCGCTGGGTGTAAACAGCTCGACGAACTCGAGCTCGAGCATGGCGAACATCAACTTGCGCAGGCCGTTCTGGAAGCCCGGAATGTACGTGGACAGGAACGGGATCCATTTCTTCCAGAACTCCTGCGCTTCGGCAGGGAGGAATTGCACGGCCCACGGCGGCGAGCGCATCAGCTGGGTGACATGTTTGGCGCCGTGTTCGGGCTTGACGAGCTGAGGCAGGACTTGGGCAGCTGAACAACCGGTGCCAATGACAATGACGTCTTTGCCCCGGATATTGAGGTCGGGGTCCCAGCGCGCAGTGTGGACGATGTCGCCTTCAAACGTGTCAATCCCAGGGACCTCGAGGGGTGGTTTTGGTTCGACCAGCCCGCCCACGGCGCTGCAGACCACCTTTGCCCGCACAATCTCTGTGCGCAGGACCGTCTTGGAATTAGGTCCGTTCCCTGCCTCCAGCGCCCGCCTTTCACGGGTAGACAAGTCGCCAACTCCCGGCGCGAGATGTTCAAGCTCGACTTCCCACTCTTCGACGTCATCAATCCAACGCACCGCCTTGACCGAGGTGTCGAGCTGGATCTTATCCAGGATCTCGAACTTTTCGCATACGTCGTAGAGGTACTGGATGATCTCCGGCCCCGAGGGGAACAAGGATGTCCAGTGAGGGTTCTGGGCGAAGGAGAACGAGTATAGGATAGCCGGGCTGTGGTTCTCGTCGATCGAGGGACCGTCAGAATCTTTCAAACGCAACCCATCCCCATTGAGCAAGGACACGGAAAGGGCCAAAGACTTACACATCGCAAGCAATACCGGGATACTGATTGGTATGCCATGTCCCTCCCAAGGCAGACCTGCGCTCAAAGATACGGAATTGATCGAACCCCAGAACCTGCCGCAGTCTACAGCCCATAGCAATGCCAGACTCGCCGGCGCCGATGATCAGGACTGGGTAGAATGTGTAACCAGGCTTGTTGGCTGGCCCGCCATGGCGAATGCGGTCGATCCGAGCCCCCATGTTACGACGCAGGATAATGAGTAGCGAAGCACACGAAGAGTGTCGATGCTGGAGAGCTTGAGAGAGCAGAAGCTCCGTGAAGGTAAGGAAACAGGAAATAAATGTTCCGGGTCTCTCACCTATCCACCACCGATCAGATGTTATACGAACTCACATGGCTGCGCCCTTCTTTGCGGAACCCGTAGAAGGTGTGATTGGAGGGGGTGGACGCGATTGTGTCGTCAGACAGCCCGCAATTGATGGTGCCATGTCTGGTTGGCCTGATGCATAAAAGCTTGGACAGCTGGGATACCAAAGGCGGATAAGAAAGCGTAGTGCGTAGGTACCTCGTAATAATAGCTCGTCGGCATCTCCAGATCTGGACTAGGTAAGAGCCACTGAGAGCCTCGTTTCACGCGGCCGCGCCAAGTCACGCCGAAATGAGCCTGCGCTGCCGATGCTTTTCTCTTGGTCCAAGTCCATGACTTGCAGGCGTTCGTTCTACCTACAGTGCAAACACGAGCACAATACGCAGGCGGATACGAAGAACGGGACATCGCCATCTCCCAAGAGTCAACAGATGCCATGTCTCGGCCTCCGGATAAGGGGTTGCTCAGTTCTTAGGCGACATACACCCACTACTGCATCCACCTCCTCACGGTCACTACCCCGTGGTCGCTTCGAGTCCTCCATCTCAAGTCACCAGGCCAGTGGCATTCGGGAGGTACCCACCCTTCCGTCCTGGGATGTGACTGTATTCAGCCAAGCATACAAGCAGAATGTACCAGCACGTCTGCCTCGTTCGAGGGCGCATCTGCCTCCGGCTTGCTCAAAATGGTTCATCCACAACGACAACCCAGACTATGGCCTTTTCAGCCCTTCCTCCACCATCAACGTGACCGCCGACCGTGATTCTGAAGAGGGTCGTCGGTCCAGCGATGGGATTATCAATGTCCCTCGCTCGTCTGAACTGCGGATGTCGTTCTGGTCAGGGCACGAAGCGACAATTGTGCCGCTGGAGATAACCACCACCACCATCACCACCAAGGATGCTTCAACAGCCACTGTTCTCGGTCAGGGCAGCAGCATTCCCGGCACTGGCGGCGAGAGTGAAGGATTTGAGCGCATCGAAGCGCCTCTGCAGATCCTGGTCGCATATCTTTCCAAATCACCGCCACCACAATCAAGGACGGGCATCGACCAAGTCCGGGATGTTAATTCCATGTCAATCTACCTCGCCCAGTGCGATCTTTCCTCCCTGCCAGTTTCAATACGATCAGACGTCCCTGTCCCCGAGGTATTACACCCATCCTCCTCGTCCAGCGGCAGCAACAGGAACGGCAGCACAGTAAAAGGCGACATCTACGCCTCGTCCCTCTGGCTCGGTCGCCCACCAACCTACACCCCATTACACCGCGACCCGAACCCGAACTTGTTCATCCAACTAGCCGGGCAGAAGACGATACGTCTCCTGCCGCCGCAGATTGGTGACGCTTTATATCACGATGTCACCGCGCGACTATCTCCAACGTCAACATCCTTCTCCACTGCAATCAGAGGCGAGGAGATGATGGTCGGGCCACAGAAAGTGGCACTCCACGATGCCATTTGGAACCCGTCGAGTATCTACAACGAAGTCATCCGGGCCCATGGCCTGCAGACGACGCTTGGGCTTGGTGATGCACTCTTCACGCCGAAAGGGTGGTGGCACAGTGTCAAGGGCGTTGGCGACGGTGTCACAGCCAGTGTGAATTGGTGGTTTCGATGAGGGTGTCGAGACCTGAAAACATGGAAACAGGGTTAATTGTTGATTTTTGAAGTATTGTGTAGATAAGCCCCCTCGATCTGTAGATCGGGAGCCTTTGTGAGAGCCTTTGTGCAGTTCTGGATTCCCGCTTCCTCGTGTACCCTGTTGATTGATAGTCTGCTTCAAATGCTGTGCTGCACTTTTTTGCCCTTGCAAAGAAAGCACTTCGCCTCGCCAATCCACCATCGGCGGGCCAATCTTTGTCGTGGTCAGATCTCTTCATGGTCGTAGTCTATGCATCGTGGGGGAAGAGAAGTTCATGTTCATTTGTCGGTGTACCCAAGCGACAACCGCCCATGCCACGGACTATACGATCTTCTTGTCAATAGGTCAAGAAATGTTTTTAGCCAACTTTCCTGGCCTTCTCGTCTGGATTTGCTTGTCGATACAACAGGTGACCTTTGTACGTGGGTTTCGCCATGGCTATCACCATGGGTGTCAGGTATTGATCTATACATTGTATGATAGTCCCCGGACTTGACAGAGGACATCGCCCCCAAAAAAACCCCTTGCGTAAGACGAGGTAGCGTATTCATTGTTTCCGCTGCGAATAACTGACCCCCCCTGAATATTTAGATAAACCCCCCAAGATTCACATGCCTGTGCATCTCGTATGTCTCGTATGTCTCGTATCGAACAACCTCGTCGGCAGGCCTCGCTCTCGAGTCCAAAGTCCAGCGAGGCAGGGTGTCCAGATCTTTCGAGGGAGTGAGTCTCCGACCATGTGTTTGGTGTGTGCCGTGAGAGGAGTGCTGAATGTAGGAAATCTGCTCACGTGTATCAAGTGGTATATTTATATTGCAACAAATGGGTTGGTTGACCACAGGGGCAGCAGGAGGATTGGGAGCGAAACGCGCTGGTCAATAGGTCTCCAGGAGTCTCTCACATTCCACATCCCATATCACACACGCTCGAAGCAGTAGAGTTGTCGACGTCGATAGCCAAAGGGTTGCATCCCCACCTCCCCGCCCCCCCGTAGTAACAGTGAAGATGTGCGCACCCCTTCAAGACACGCTTCAGCCTTGCCTGCGCCCATCAGCCTTACCTTCACCAACCCAGCCGTGGGTCCCCCAGGTAGGTCCAGCAGAAAATATATAAAAAAAAAAGGCAGCATATAATGTCACTCTCGCCAAATTCTGGCACACAAAGACCCCCTTTCCTACGACAAAGGGCGAGACGATAATCGAACCCCACGACTCCCTCTTCGAGCCTCACTTCGATCGATCGGACGCCCACACACACAAAATCTAGGATCTGTCAGGTCAAACTAACAATCGGGTTAGCAGGCAGCAGATCCTCGATTCGAACCTCCTCCGAATCCTCCTCGATCGAACCTCCCTCCCTCCCTCCCCGCCATTCGACTCAACTTATAAAATTTGTAGTATAACCGGCCGGCCGAGAAAAACCAACCCGAAAGGGCGAGTTTCACTTACCCACGAACCAGAGTTGAGCTGCTTCGTGGATTAAGTTTTTTGCTCTTCTGGGGGATGGTGACCATTTTTTTTCTTCTGCGCGCACACAATCACAAAAGGGTATGGAATGGTGTGTGTTTGTGTGGGGGAAAGATCCAACGCCAAGGAGGATAAAGGAGAAGAAGTGAAGAACAGAAAACCGGGAGAGAAGATGGTGTGCGAGAAGGGTAGATGCCAGATACTGCCCTTAGTCCACTATGTGTAATAACAACAAGTCTGCCTCCTGCGAGAATTCAATATCCCAAATCAATCAGCGCGCGTCCCTCCCCTTGTTCCCGGTATGGATCCCGGGTTTTCAGTCGATCTCCATTATTCCACTTCAAGTGCTGTTGTCTGTCCTTCTTCGCCTTCGGCAATATCATCTTCCATCTGATCTAGCACGCTGCTAGTCTCTGTACTGGTTCCGTCATTGCCTACTGCTGTTGTGAGCCGTAGAATCTGTTACTCTCCTATTGCAGCGAGGCTTGAGCGAGCTTCGAGTATGCGTGTTATAAGTGGTAGCGAACTTAGCAAGAACTCGAACCCTAGGACCTCTCCTCCGCCGTCCATCTTTTCCTGCGTATTGCAAAATTCCTCGGGGACATCTGCAAGCATTGCGCCGCTGGGGAAGGCCGTCAGCAAGGAAGATCACAAGTCCTGGGAGAGTAGATGCTTTGCTGTACTGCGAATCAAAGACACGCTTCTTCCCATTTTCATTCCATCAAAGTCAGTTGACATGCTCACTCTTGTGCCGGGCGGTTTTCGGGGGCACCCTTGCTCATTCAACCTTGTGTTTGTCATCTGCATCATCGTCCGTCATCTTCGTTTATTGCCATACTCATATCCAATTTCCTTCACCCCTTTGTTGCACAGAGACGTCGACTCCTTGACCCCTTGTCCCTGGCTTCCGTCGAGATTTGCCGCGACCACCGCCTTGACTTTGACTAGCCATTAACGCATCCCCATCGGCATCAGGCTCTCGTTTTGACTTGCCCCGCTGACTGCTTTGAGCCATGGGCGTTTGACTCTGGCCCTGGGTGGCCATGATTGCATCTCCGTCTTGGTCAGCGCCTTCTCCAGCGCCGTCGTCCCCTTCCTCTTCTTCTCCCTCCTCTTCATCATCGTCGTCAACATCTTCGTTGTCCTGTGTTCCTCCTGGAAGGCGCCGCAATTCTTCGTCAGGGTCACCGTCCACTGTGCCACCATATCGTTCATGCCATAGTCTTGCTTCGTCGAGTTCATTAATGTCTAGAGGTTTAGACCGGAGCCAACGCATCCGGGGTCCACTCTTCGCTCGTTCCGACACCTTGAAGCCGTAAATTCTGGGCTCGTAGATCTTACCTTTCCCTAAACCGGGTGCAAGGTTGTGGGTGGCGATCCCATTGATCGTCGCTGGTTGCGGAGGTAAAGTGTTCTGAGTCATCGCGGATAGAGAGGTCTTCTCGTCCTTGGTCGATGTGATACCAGGAATCGCTGGGGCCTGAGGTAGGGTCAGGCTCGAACTTCGACTGGCCGTTATGCCCCCACGCGTAGCATTCCCTTCGTTGGGACTCAAGGTGCTTTCGAGATCATCATTTCCTTGGCCGCTGGGATCTCGGGGATTTCGTTTCTTCATTGGGGCCACGTCTAAGTCTGGGTAGGACATGAAGAACAGGCATGGAAACGTCGTCCCAAAAAAGGCACCGTCGACGGCCTGAAATCTAGAGTTCGGGGGAGTGTAGACATCCAGACAGCTCGGGCAAAAGAGTTTGACTGTCTGTTGCCCAGGGGTGTCCGTCAGACCGACCGGCAACACTTTTGCCCCGGCACAATACACCCGAGGGCAGAAACCAAAATGTGACAATTCATACTTCTCCATCATTTGTTGAATCCCAGGTCTTGACGTGATGTACCGGGCGTGTATCAGACCATACAGAAGTTCCGCAGATGACTCAATAACTGAAGTATCAGATGAGGTCCGACCATGTCTTCTACCGCCTGCTGGGCCTCCAGATTGTCGCCTTGATGCCCCGTTTTGATTCGCAGTTGGCTCGTCCAATTCATCGCCCAGAATGCCGTCATCTTCTTCTTCCTCTTCTTCCTCCTCCTCTTCTGACAGAGCTGACGAATTGGTTTCTGACGGTTCCACATCAAGTATCATTTCCAATGCATCCTTGTACATGGGCACTTGGGCTTGCAATCCCGTCAGGTTGAAATCGTCCTCGATGAAATCTTCGCTGACTTCGGCAAAATATTCATGGCCGACCAGGTTGCAGAAAGTTCCGATCCAGCTATCTGGACTCTGAGAAGAAGTTTGAGACATTGCGTTGGAGAGTGTGGCGGAGGAACTGGTAAATTGCTGGTAGTAGAGCGATTCAGAGTATTCGGAAGCAATGTCGAGCCGGTCCAGGCCAGCGGCCAGGGCGGAGGCTTGTTGGGCAGACAGATTGGGATAAAAGTCGCGTCCAACACAGAATCTTCTGTCTGTGAGACCTCAACTTCCTGGTGGAAGGTAAGATGATCGAGAAGACGGGCGAGTGGTCTGGCGCGGGGTGGGAGGGGTCAGGAAAGAGGAAGGACAGGACTCGTGGGAGGCATGGAGGAGGGTTGCACGACTGCCTTCGTTTCTCGGTATCAGACGTCTCACAGTCGCTTTCGCTGCCTGGCTCTTGGAAGTTTCGAGCAGTGAATAAGAGGTAGGAGAGTCAGAGGGTGGCTCGGCGGGCTGTATTGATTTCAGGAGCAGGGGTAGGCAGGCAGTGAAATCATACAAAAACCTATTGGGCCTGTCTTTAATGTGGCAACATGCACAGATACGCGTGCTCTAGGTCAAGGTCGATCGCAACTCTTGTCTGCAGAATCATATAGGAATGATAGGTGGACGATAGCTGGATGTGAATTCCACGGCCGCACTTTTGACATGCGCCCCGAGAGAGCGAAGTGGATGGGCGCAGTGAAGTCCAATCTTGACCAATCAGCCCTGACCCAAGCAGTCTTGGCAAAAATCATGTGATTCGAGATCAATGGCTGCATGAACAGCGCGTCCTGGTGCAACGAGAAAGATGACGGATAGAAAACATTCAATTCCTTATTTGTGTAGTCATCATTGTACCCTAGGGCACCAAAAAGTCTCATCAAACTGCTCGGTTTCAAAACAACTCGTTCATAATTCTGGCAAATTCCGGCTCATTTCCAAACGCATTGAATCCTTCCGCCATACTGATTTCACCGTTTGCGCCAACGAAGTTGAATGACTCCGGTCCTGGAGTCGCAGCTCCATACCCACCAGCCAATTCGAATAGACTGGACAACTCATTCGTGATCTGCAATGCATCGTCCGGGCTGACTCCTAGTTCTTGCTGATTTTGACCCCCATTCGCCTGGTTCGAAGTCGAATTGCCATACGGCTGCTGGTAGTCGACTTTGTGTCCGGCAAGGCCAGCCATTGCCATCGCGGCGTCTGAGTGAGCGTCTTGTTCAGCATCATTCATGCCGCTGACGCCGCGAGCCAGTAGACCAATCTTGTCACCCATGTCCTTGAGCCCTCGAATAGTCCGCCAGAGCCTCTTAGACACGTGTGACTTAGTGCTAAAACCCTTGACAATCTCTATCGCAGCGTAGAACTCTTGCCTGGTCTGGGAGCAAAAGACGGCCGGAGCATGAGCCACTGACAGGAAGAGCACAGCGAGTGCCTGGACCAAAAAGTAGTTGTACAGCACTTGCTGGGTTTTGTAGATATCGGACATCTGGTTCACTGCTGTCAATGTGTTGATGGTGTCCTTGGCCACATCAATCACATTCTGTGCGTAATGGCGGTTCTCCATAATGCTGGTCGCGGAATGGAGGATGGGCCGATAGATAGAAATTCGTGCCTGGTTCTTGCGCAAATACATCAGGAGTCGGAGACGGCGCACTCCGCGGCCAGGTATCTCATTTTCTCTGGCAAGGTCCCGATTGTTGAATTGCAACGACTCGGGAAGCTGTGCATACCACTGCAGAATCTGGTAGTCCAAAAATCCTATTTCGTCTTTCTTCGTGTTCTGGCCCGCCTCATACGCCAGATTGTGGTACCAGACTTTTGTGGCGATTTGATTGTACTTGGTAATGTGTTTCAAATATGGATGACTCTCATCCTGCCGGACATCAATAAGGCAACTGGGAACGGATCAAGGTGACTTACCGGTTCAGGCAGAGCGGGATCAATGTCTGCATCTTGCAATGCAAATGGCATGCCTGTGCCAAAGCTCCAGCGACGATCGAGCGCGTAGACGGTCCAGAAGATACGAATGGCTTGCTGATACTCAGCTTCGTTCGTAAAGGATTTGAGCAACGAGTCCTTTCTGTGAAGCCCCATTTCTATACACATGCGCGCTGCGATACCAATGAATCGCCATGCCTGTGCCTCCTCATCTTTTTGGAAGTAGAAAGTAGCCTGTTGACGGATGTCAGCCAACACAACCTGAGTAGCGTGACGGAAAGTTCCTCTTACCGTCAATACCGTCAAGACGACGGACTTGATGTCCAATGCGGTAACTAACTTCAGATCCGTCGCTGGTTTTGCCGCATCAAAGAATCTTTGGCCCAACTCACTTCGTCCGTGTCCTTCAACAGTCAGCGTTATCGCTAGAACCATCTTTAAAACGGTGGTCTCCTCATCGTCGAACGTGTCTGCGCCTGGGAGACCGGGTTGACCCAGCCCAGTTCTCAGGGACGCTGCGATGAACTTGTATAACGAGGTCGCTTGCTTCAAAACCTTATCGATGTCCACCACAGGATACATGATTCCAATCTCTTCCTCATAGACGCGACACAGACGAACCACTTCGGGATGGTCAATCAACCATAGGGGGTCTTTGCTTGGATGAGGCGGAAGTATCATGATAGGTGATGCCGCTCGACTTCGATCGCGAGACATCATACCATCGTCCGGTGCATTATGTGTGATCCCCATGGTCTGAAGGGAAGATTTGGCCACATCCAATCCGTAGACTGTGCTTGTCGGGCCATGAAATTGAGGCAAGGCCTTGGGCTGTGCTCTCTTGGGCGAGATGAGGGGTGGTAGCGTACGGGACGCCGACACGGACATGGAACGGGTTGAGCCATCGTGGGAGAACTGCGGGTCGATGGGAGCCGGAAAGGAGATGTCGGCTCTGCTTCGCAACTCGTTCAAGCTGGCGTAAAGGTCGTTTACTTGCTCTTGGAGTGCAGCAATATGGTCGCGCATCTGGTTGAACTCACTGCTCCCCAAGGTCAGTTGGGTCTGCAAGCTGTAAAGAGGGAAGACGCACGCAGAGTCCTTGAGCGAGTTCGTGCAGCAATTCGGCGCATAGATGCACTCGAGATTCAGATTGCCACATCTTTGGCACGGAGTGTTTCCGTTGCATTTTATTTTGCGCCTGCCGTTGTATAAAAGATCAGCCTCTACTTGACAAGTGGGTGTGGAAGAGAGAGGATGTGGGAGACAGGGCAACCGACCGTTTACACTCATTGCTGTTTCGTTGACAGAGCCCATGTCAGCATATTTCATTCATCTCTTGTCTTCGCTATTCTCCCCCCGGGAGTCCTACCACGCAATTGAAATATATCTGTTCCTTTTTGACCTCGTGTGTGACTGTTTCTCCGCGGTTGGGTCAGCTTCGGCCTTGCGTTTTTCGCCATGGCCATTGGCTTGGGGAGAGGCATCTGATCCGGTGCCGGTGCCAGTAGCGACGCTATGAGAAACCATGATATTTTGGAGATCTGCCCTTACAAGAGGGCTTCTTGACAGGGTTGACGGGGCAGTGGATAGGCGTGGAGATATTTCCGCGACTGACTGTGAGGCGAGGCTGATGGTCTGGTGGGAGAAGCGGAAATAAGAAGATAAAAGAGAGGGGGCCACGGGGGGATGTCAGAGCGCAGGCTGGAGGACGGAAAGCTGGTTGAGGAGGCTAGAGGCCGGAACGGATTATCCCCACCGGAAAAACTGGAGGAGGAGAAGAGCAGGAGAGCGGGGGACCTATCGCCTGCGCCTTCTCTACCTCCACCAGCACTACAGACTGCACAAAGTACTCGTGTGAGGTCATCTGGTCATGTAATATTTCTAGCAAATTACTATCTCGCACAGTCAGTTTCCTCGTCCTATCTTCCCCTATACACCTGTCTTGGCTCCTACAGGCTGGCAAGAGTGAAGTATGTCCCCGTTTCGCTGTCCCTCACAGAAGAAGCCCTTGCTGTTTCTGTTCCCAATGTGTCCCTCAAGGGTGTGGTCACGGTGTGCATACCTGTTATCGTCTCTGGGAATCGAGCTAGACAGGATGCAATAGGTCCTATTTGCCGCTACATCTGCTGCTCTGCTCTGTTGTGTTTCTCCCTACCAAGACAGTGCGCCCCGGCCACCCCTGTATAAACCTAAGTACTAACACGTGTCGGCCTTGCTTCTGAAACTACCTTCTCAAGGTTATGCCTAAGTACAGTGGTGGTCTCTATCCACAAAGTCGGTGACGACGGGCCACAGCCCTCAGGCGTTCCATGGAGACATTTAAGACAAAGCATGATAACGTTCCGGGAATTGAGATGCTCCGAGAAATCTTGGAAAATATCCATATTCCATCAGGACCTTACAACAACTACATATAAGGTTACCAGTCAAAAAAGGCCTGAATACCAAGAGACAAACAGAAGTGGGCGGTTGGGGATGTGAAAGGCACAGAAACTTGGGACTGGTTGCCTTTAGGCTCTACCCATGGGGACCCAGTCTCGCACCATTATACCCCTATGCATCATCCTTCATGGAAGCGTTGAGGAAAGATGGTATGCTAGGATGCGGTCGTGGGCGCATACCTTCGGCTTCAATACACTGAAACGACACAGTTCAGAAGAAACATCCCCGTCACCCCCTTCTCAGACTTCATCGGAAAAATGGAACCGTTATTCTGCGTTTTCTGCCAAGGGTCCATTGGCGAAGCGCGAGAGAAACAATTGAAACCTTGCTGGACTTTCACATGGCTCGTTTGGGTTCCTGTCGAAGAGGAACGTTGACTTCCCGCCTCTGGAAAGACAGCCTCAGGCACGTATGCAGCTGGTATACACGCTTCCTTTGCAATCTATTCCACGCTTGACCTTAGTAAGGAATGGTAAATTCCTTTGCTACTTGGTGGTGGAAAACCATCCGTCACTTGGATCCAAACGCCCCCTGCCGGAGCTGTTTCAAAAATGCAGAAATTTGAGAATGGGTGTGCTTGTAGGAGCGCCAGCGAAAGGTTGGCCGGCTGCACATCCGGCTAAATTGTGTTACGAGAAACGGGAGAAGAACTATTGCCGGGAAATCCCGACTCCTGTGCTCTTTGGGCTCAGTGTCTGCTTCCAACCCCTTTTCAACACACGCACGTCTTAATACGGAAGACATAGAGCACAGCGTATCGCCAGATGGGAGTGTTGACACTGGCAACGTGTCCTCCATCTCTGGTGTCTCATATGCCTCGAAGGATTCCATTTGAGCACGAGACCAGGTTCTGGACTCCCAGTAGCAAATTGGAGTACAAGGGTATGGTCGAAACGCCAACACTTTGGTGAACGACGAGAGCGTTTCTGGCAGGTGGCAAAACCAACCATTTCCTCAAAGTAGCTCCGACTCTTTACGGCAATGCCTCGAGCGCCTGGCATGCGCGTGCCAGGCAGACATGCGGCAATCAACAGTTTTCGTTGCCAGCCAATTCACCACCACCGGCACATCCATGGTTCACATCGCTCGATCATCGGAATGCGGGAGATTGATCCCCATCACATAGGCGTGTTTGGAGTTCTGCAGGTCCTGTATCGACGGCAAACCAGCCTATCCATGCCGGAAGCCCAGAATCTCTACGCGTCGGAAGGATCATCGAGAACATTCGAATGATCTTGTCGTTACTTACCGTTCATGCACCAAAGAAGCGAATGCGTTTCTCCGTCCAAAGAGCTCGGGAGCCAACCAGATGTGCCCCTGTGGTGTCCGCTGCTCTGCATACAGGCGGACATGTGCAATAGAGGGGGGGTCCCTTGGTAGATGGAGCAAGCAGAGTGCCTGTCATCGACGGCACCCACACTGTTGGTAGCACCACCAGTACATCCCCGACGGGCTGACATAAGGCCAGGAACGAGGACACCAGGGATGGAGAGGACTGTTGCGGGTCCTTTATTTGCTCGCTCTTGGGCAGGGACAATGGGCAGGGATTTTCCTTGGCCAACGATCAACCACGCATTGCGTTTCGAAGGATCATTTCAAATATGACACGGGTATTTGGGCCCCGTATCAACCACAGCACGCGCTCCAGACTCCGTTCTAGCCCTACAACGAGCTTTCCCCCTTTACCTTTCTCGACCACCTCGCCTCCATACACCCAGGACGGCAACAGCACCTTCCCAAAGCCCGTGCGTGAACAGGCTGTTGCCTCTTTAACAGAGGGAGAGGTGTTGCTCACCAGTATTACCCTTCTCTTCCACTGAACCCGTATTGCGTGGAGGATTATGTCAGAGTCTCCCAATCACAAGGAGGTGGCTACTCCTCGTACGCCCGTAGGGCGACTTCTCAACCGGGGGGGGGGGCCAAAAAGTGGTGATTGGCCCGTCGTCATAGCAAAAGGCCACTGACCCTGATTAACAGAAAGAGGAAGAGATAGGTAATCCTGTTCCGAGTGGCAACCATCTTGGACCAGAAGAGGCAGAAGGGGTTGTATGAGATGCTTTTGTGTCAGATCTACAGCGCCGGCACGAAGTGTGAAAGACGGCAAATTGGATTGAAATGAAAATTTACACAATCCTCTCCAGGCAGATGGGTGAGGGAGGGGTGGACCTCTTAGCTGAGGAAAACATCCACCGTGAAGAGAGTGTCGGGCGATGTTGGAGGAAATGGAAGACACGGAACTTTTCCAACCCTTCCCAGAGCGACTTCGCTGAAGGGTTTGCTGCCCGCGACAGTGCCGACTTTGTGGCAGAGACCAAGAATTCAAACCGCAAAAGTTGTGAGGGACTGCGCTCCATACTCCAGTGGTATTCAATGGGTAGGTACTGCGATGCTGGGGGCTGTATCCATTGCAATGTATTCCAAATCCTGGGTGGCGATCATCACCCATCCCCACTCACTATTGTGGCCGACGTCAAGTTCGGGGCCAAAGAGACAGAAAACCCGCGTTGGTTCAACTATTGTTCAGTCGGCATCTGTGTATCAACAACGCCAGGGGAAGAGCACGGCACTATCGATCGCAAGTGAAGGGGACCCAAGGGAGACGGGGGTTGTTGTAAGAGTTTTCTGGCTTGTTGAACAACTGCCGCCGCCTATCATTTCCAGTTTATTCTCAAGCAAGAGTATCAAATCTCGCCGGGCCGCTATCAAATGAAGTCTCCTCCCTGTTTCCCCCTTTCTTCCCCCTCATCCCCCTGTTGAGATTATGCTCAAGCACATGTAGACATGCAGATGTCCCTTGGGGCGACGAAGGGCCGGGACCCGTCGATCTGGCCCTTTGTGTGTTTGTAATCTTGTACCCTACGCGCCCTGGGGTACGGAAGGGATAGCAAGCGAGCAGGGAATGGAGGCAGGGGGGAAGGGAAGAAGTGATCCTCCGAGAGACGGGTTTTGTATCGCGAGTGAAGGAAGGGGGTTGTTGGGCTTCTGGAAGACTGCACCAGGCAGGGTGGCAGGTCGGCACGACAGGGTGATTTCCGCCCCGGAGCCCTAGTCCTGTTAACCGAAACAGGGGGAGTAAAGCATGAAGATGGGCACTATACAAGGAACAAGGGGGCAGGGCGACGACAACGACAAGCAACAACAACAACAATATCAAACACGACAACGACCGGGAGATCATGAGTATGCGCTCCCTGCAACACGCGGGTCAGTACCGTAGGTATGAAGTGTAGGTACGGAGGTGGCAGTGTACACTATGCTCTCCGTACCATAGCTGATCCACCGCCCTACATGATACATACCTACATACCTACATACACTTGTGAGTATGTAAGTATGTACCTACAGCGGTGGTGAAACGCCTCCTGAATCCCTTCAGCCTGCCTGGTAGGGGGAGGACAGATCTCCTTTGTGCTACTACTAGCTAGCTAGCTAGCTAGCTGGGCACATGGAACGGTTGGGTCGTGCAGACAGGCAACAAGGGTGGAAAGGGTAGCTTGGTAGGTAGGTAGAGGGAGAAACGCACATCTTGGGCACGGAGGGTGAGGGAGAGGAAGGAAGGGGTTTCCATGTCTCCCAAACCTGCAAGTCACGACTAGGCGGATGTAGAGAGGCATACTCGTCGTCGGTATGTAACATAGGCACCGTACTCCGTAGGTATCTTGGTTACATGGGGCCAAAGCAATTATTGCCTTGCCAGAATCAGGACAAGAACCGGGTACCTACATGCATACATACGTACACACTCCGTAGGTACCGGGAGCAGAAAGGAATACTTGGTTTACCTTGATGTCCTTGATGTCCCTTGGCCCCGGGAAGGGGGCCCCCCCCCCCTAAAATGAAAAACGTGCAAGCTCCCGAAAGGAACCAAGCGAACAAGATGATAACGTACCTACCTGGTATACCTGATGCTCGAAAAGCCCATCTTGATCCTGACCCTTGGGGGAAAAAAAAACACCTGGGAATGACCGACTGACCGACCGACCGAACGAACGACCAGACCAGGTACGTACATTAGTGCCAAAGCGGGAAACGGGTGCTGGGATTGGTGGATGACGCTCCCCTCCCCGGCCAGCCACAGCAGCCCATGGGCGATGGCCCCCTCCCTTCCCTCCACCTTTGGTTCTTGTCCAGAAAGGGTACGATACTAGTAGGGTAGGGTAGGGCAGCACAGGGCAGGGTACCGACCTACCTTGTACTCGTACATACATTGGTTGATTGCGGGAGAAGGGATAAAAAAAGGGCCTAAGGCCGTAAACGAACGCGCAAGACGAGCAGGGCAAGGGTAGGGTGCGGACCCGTTGGACGAACGAGAGAACAAGGACATGGTGGACAACAACTTTTTAGAAGAAAAAAAAAAGTGGGAATAATAACACCAAAGCAAGCCCTACGAGTTTACGGAGTACCAACCTCGTACAGTACGAGGTGCTGTACCTACCTACCGTATCTAATGCCCGTACCGGTATCTCTCAGATGGAGTGGTCCCTAATACTTACTCTCAGGTAAGGGTACTTTGTAGCAAAGGCCTGGAATGGGAGGGTTGTGTGGATCTGGAGGGCAGGGCGCGTTTTGCAAGGGGTGGGGGGGGAGGAGGGGCCCTTCATCGATGACTTCGGCACTTCTGCCGGGAAATCGTGTAAGGTATTGTCGCCCTTCGCACCAGGAACTCAAGTTGGGGGCCGGTATAAATTGGTAGGGGGACAGCAATAGATATGGGGCTAGCGGGGCACGCTTCTGAACGATCCAATGGGAATATTCAATCCTGCTACCAAAAAGGGTTTGATGTCTTTTGTCCAGGGTCTCGCGCTAGGGTGATCTCCTCGACCAGTCGAGGTACTAGCTACAGAAACGGCATTGCGTATTGGTACCGTACCAAGCTTCTTCGTTCTGCTTCTGGAAAGTCGCGGAAAACAACAAAGGACCTGCCTCGAACTTTACATCTTTAGTGAAGTGTTTCAGATACCAAATGAATTCAAATACCAATTTGGCCCTAAACAACTGCCAGTCCCCGGGAGATGCGAAGACGGATTGTGGCCGTGCAAACTGCTCGCTATGAAAAAGGACCTCTTGAGGGGGACGGTGTGGAAAGCTGGATGTGTGTTTAGCTCAGTGATTGGTGGCTCAGCTCAACGGTTGGTTGACCTGATCGCTGCGAGCTGCGATGGGGTTCTGTGATCAAAGGATCGACGCGACACCTACCAAGGAGGTCCTTTATTTTTGGGTTTCCTTTGTCAGCCATTCTTGAGGCGATGCAGGGTGGGCGATCGTTGCGTTGGCGCTCGCACTAGGACAAGTATTAGACGCTGCGGGAGCGCCGTGGCGCTGGCCCGCTGGTTGGCCGCTGGCTTCAGGCTGTCACGCTTCAGACGCTCGAAGCCTAGTTAGGCTCGCCCCCGAATACCACAAAGGGCTTGGCGTACCAGGACGGACGGGGTCAAACGGTAATGATCCTTTAAGCTGTTTCTGGCATTGGGTCAGGCCTTAAGGCTGACGGGATGATCTCGTTCTCATTGGCGGAAAACCATGAAATCGCCGACGGGGTGTCGTTCCTCAATCGGGAAGTCGGGATGGGGCGGATGTGGACTCAGGGCCATGCTCCTGCGTAATTAATTATGCGTTCCCGACGGCCAATGGCTCTTTGTTTTCTGGAACATTGGTCTGACGCTGTTTCTCATGCCTCCTATGCCTTGAGTTTAGTCCCCCATGCTCGTGGTTTGATCGAAACAGTCGGCTTCTGCTATCGGGCATGGACGACCGATAAATTAAACTCAACGCGCCATTTGTAATTGCGCAGTCTCGTTTCCGCGATAGTTGGCCCAGATCTCGTTCATTAGTGGATGCTGCTTTTAAATCTGCTTGTTAGTACATTGCTGCTTTGATTCAAAAGCATCTGATACTCTGTCGTCGTGCTCCTAATCACTGGCCACCTGCACATTGACAGGATGGGATGACAGAGCACCTTTGCGAGGATCCACATCTCTGACCACCTCATTCTGAAGATTGAGGGCTCCATCCTTGACCTCTAGCCACACAGGCATGTAACGTTGAGAAATCTGGAGAAGGTCCTTTTGATGAGGCGCGCTTCAACGTCGCCCCCACATCTGAGCAGCTACAGAACGGACCCGGTACCACCTCCCTGGAAACCAATGATCGCGGAGCTAGAGCAAAGAGCGAGTTCCAAATAAGGCAGGTCGACATCTTAGGGCTGAGATGATTTCGTTGACCTATCTTTCTGCTCCCCATCAAGGTCAGCCGAGCGTCGGGTTGACCCAATAGAGCAGGAACGACTGGTCATGAAGGTGCGGTTCCGGCTGAGAAGCTCGGTATCGAATGCCCGGTAATGGCTTATGGAGCAAACCCGTTATACTGGCCATGTCTCCTTTCAAATCAGGACGGTGATGACCAAAAAGGCCACCGCCGATTTACTAGACGTTCCAAACGCCGGGCAATTTTCGAGGCTGGGAAATACGATCCAGAATACTAATGTCGAGAAGCCCCAATTGGGAAATCTCCAGGCGCACACTGAAGTATTTGAAATAGCGGAGGCGCAGGAACCCACTCGCCGCAGCCACGCTGAAAATGGTAGCCACGGCCACAGGTAGGATGTCGGGGAATATTCAGTAAATCCAAGGATGAAACTGTGGTGGCTGGGGAACGGCGAGCCGGCTTCGACATGGTTAGGTCCCGCGGGAAATTAGGAGGGCCACTTACCTAATGTTGCACGGATTTTCGTTGCTCAGATATCACGAAGTTATGCTGTGAGGTCATGCCATAGACAACAAGGTGAATCCCGGGTAGCCTGAAGATGGAGCTGCCAAATCAATGAGGAAGATTTCGTAGAAGTTGTGGGGGATAGGGCCTGCCAGCACGTTGATGGAGCATTACCAAGTCGATACGCTCAACATGAGGGGGGAATAGGACGCCCGAGTTTTCAATCAAGATTGTCCTCCCGTATGCAAGCTGACATTGTGTGTATGTACGCAGTCGCTTCTAGTGGCGACTTTTGCTGAATGATCAGACAATGGAGAGAAACCTAGCACCACACGGTGACACGACGACCCCCGAGACCACGCCATTAATCATCAGTACAGGCAAACCTGGGGTGGAAGCCTATTTGACAATTATGTCTCTCGGACTGAGGCAATTATGTCATTGCCAATGCTTGTAATTGCTGCTACTGTACGAGGAGACTTCGGTCTCCTCGATGACGTGCACAAGAGGTGATTGTGGGATACCTCTGTCGTTGTAATTCAAGAATTGTGCATCGGGGATGATCTGGATCGCTCTTGGAGAGGTGGTTTGGAGCATCAATTTTGATACCCCAAAAGTAATTGTCACCCCATCCATGAATCCCATAGGGATGGCCGGGACTGCGGCTTTTCCCGGCGACATTTGGACGCCGCGCACATCTGCGTGGTGGACCTTTGGACCATGGCTGCTGGAAACAGCAGCAGGCGTCCTGGAAAGAAATCCTCTGTCCATCCACCAGGTCGAGCAGATTGCTCACCGGAGTATGGTCGTCAACAACTGTACCAGTAGCACTCGGTAGAGCCTGTACCTGATAGGGATGGTAAGCGCGTCTAGTGCTGGCAATTAATTGAATCAGCGAGCGAGCTATGCTTCATGCGTACCCTGCGTGGTTTGGCACCGTATCTCGTTCATTGGGGGTAAATAAAATGTCTGGGGAGCCGGGCAATCGAGCACGGCGCAGGAAAAAAAAGCCGGGGGTATCAAAACAGAGGTGATTTCTGAAATAGACATGGGTATGGATTATGAGCTAGGGGCCCTTTTCCCCTAATTGTTGCACAAAGTCCTGAAGTCGAAATGGCCTGCCAGATTCGTAGGGCGGTTACAACCCCCGGTAAGTATCAAGAGGGATATTACTCAATTCGTCCAGAGTGCGGCCGCCAAGCTCGTTCTTTAGTATGTCCAGCGGGTCCCTCGTGGGCATAGGCGAATGGGGGGAGACACCAAAGAGGTAAGGGTTGCAAGGACTTGGATTCGCTTTGTGGTAGAATACGCACGGTATGAGGGGCGCAGGCTGTTTTGGGAGCCGACTGCGGAACAAACCACAGGGCAGGATGAAACGAGGGTGGAAATCTGAGCGGGAGGATTAGGGGAGGTACTGCACTCAGTATGTTGAGAGTAACAGTTTTGTGCCGGTGTAGTGGAGGAGGTTGGTGGGAGGGGGGTGGGAGATTGAGGTTGAGATCTGTGACGGTGACGAGGTGCGCAATGGTCACGGGTGGAGGAGGAGCAGGTTTGTTCCCGGGCACCAAAAGGGCTCGTGCGTCGAGAAAATGACCATGAAAGGCAGGTCACGAAGATCGGTACTTGGTAACCTGGGTTGCGGGAGTTCCGGGCATCGAGTCATCAAAAGACAGACCATGAAGATGGAATCTGTACTCGGTGAACTCGGCGAGCTCGTAAAGTTGCGAGCTCGAGTGAAGTTCTCGGAGATAGGCAAGGCACCTACCTACCTACTACTCGGAGGCTGTCGTACCCAGAAGTGAGTTAGGCTACAGAGGTGGTTGTTTGGAATAATGCTTGGGTTTCCCTAAGGCTCCGCCATTCCGGAGGGCCCTTTTGGTGATTACCTACCTATTCGTACCTATTGTTCACCGAATCTGCCCAGTGAGTTGATTTCTACTCGGGGGCCCTTGGGCACTTGGAGGGGGGGGGCAGAGAGAGAAGGGAGGGGGGCGGCCTAGCTAACTCGTAAGTGCCCCAAGTGAACTCAATGCCTAGTGCCCACTAGGCAGGTAGGAATAGGTACCCCCTACTGGTTCCCGGGCACTGGCCACTGGCCACCTGCCACCCAAACAAAGGCGGGCGGACAGTGTCGGGAGCGACAGAGTGGCCGCTCGCTGCCTCAGTGCAGACCGACTTTCGCTATTCAGAGCAGCAAGGAGCTAACCCTCATGTGGTTAGGTAGGTTGCAGGGGCGCAGCAACTACGACGTTGCACCTCTCTGCTTCTTCCCAAAATTCATCCTTCCATCACTATTTCCGTCTCGTCCCGCCTCCTCGTTCGTCCACAGCCCTGTCCACCGCGCCCACTTCTCGCTCTCCCTCTCCTCTTCCACCAGCGTGGGCCGCGCTACCCACACCCTGGTCAGGACCACCGTAGCATCCCTGTCACTTCCCGGGGCGGTCAAACATCCCTGGCTCTTTGTTCGCACTTCCATCTCCTCCCAAACGCCCCCCCTGTCGTTCCCGCGTCGCCGCCTCGCAGGGCCAGGGCTTGGTGGGCGGGCCTGGAATTGTCATGGGTTGGACACCACACCAAGTGTAGTAGGTAGGCACAAAGGGAGCAAGGCATTTGATCGCACTCTAACTTGGACAGCAGCACAGCAACATGTGGCTCCAACGCCTTCGAGAGTGGAGTTGGAACGCACGCACCCCCGGTTGAACTTTTGTGTCCTTGTGCCCTCGATCCCCCTGCTGCCACCCACTATCCTCCATTCAGGTAAAGCGGTAATTTATGTTATATATCGAGGGACATGGGTTTTGGGGCGTCCCATGCACCCAGCGTCCTGGCCATACATATGATTGACTAGTTTCCCTGATCACAAAAGAAACTATTAAGACCTTGAACATGCCCTCGCCTTTCATCTAGATCTTCCTTCTTCTTGCCCAATATCAATCTCAAGCAAGACTCGATCCCATCACTTTGCTCCAACACAAGCTTGGTCGCTGTGCTTTCTGCCTACACATATACACACACCCACACATACCCACACATATCCCCCCTCACCCATCATGCATCGGAGTCACAGCTACTCCTACACCCACTCCCAAGCCACAATGGCCGGCCACTCCAGATATGCATCAACTCACGCCAGCAGCTCTGCCTTCAGCGCATCTGCGAACCCGAATGAGGATTGGACCAAGATCTCCGACCTGGCTGAGAGAAGACGCATCCAGAACCGGATCGCTCAGGTAAATACCATCACCTTTTTTTTAACCGATGGATGGTCTTGGTCAATATCCTAACACGCCATACAGCGAAACTATCGTAAGAAGCTCAAGAGGAGACTCGAAGATCTAGAGCGCCGCGCTGGGTCATCGTCTGCTTCGCCGGAACAACAGCACTCGGAACTAGTTACCACTCCAGCCAAGGAGACTTCCCAGAAACAAACTCAATCCATGGTCCGCCAGCCATCCAGATCAAGTGTGTCACACGAGGTGCCGAGAGCGTCGCCAGAGATTTTGCCTTTGGATGACCATTCATCACTTTTTGACACTGCGGCTGGACGCCATCTATCGATCCATTCGCAACCGGCATTTACCTTCTCGTCATACCCTCCGACCACAGCATACCTCCAGTATGAGCACCAACAACACCCCACGTATGACAACACGGCCAGCTACTACTCGAATTACCAATACCAATTAGATGTGCCATCGTCGAGTCTGCCGCCGACGTTACCCGCCATGCTGCCCTCGACGTTTGGGAAGCAGGACCAGCTGTTTGGAGACGACGACATGTTGAGTCCCTTCAGCATGAACTATGCCTCGCTGGCCGGTCTAGAAATGCCCTCACATCAAGCATACTCGGGGGCTCATTCTCATGTAAATCCCACCACTTTCTTCTCCCGTTCATATTCCAGCCCACACGTCTGAGCAGCACAAAGAAAGAGAAAAGGCGGCTCAATTCCAAAAGAAATTCACCGGCTTTCAAATTACCAAAGTGCCCAGCTCAAATGCTGACTTCCTCTGGCTAGACACCACCTCTGACTGATCCATACTCGATGGATTCGGCCCACAACTCGCCCAACTACTTTGATGTCCCGCTCACGCCTGTGTCAAGGACGGCGAGCCCCAACTTTCAATTGTTTGACATCAGCTGCAAATGAGGGCATGTTTGATTTTGTTATTTTGTGATTTGGCAAGCATCAACCGCTCATTGCCGTCCATACGGGCACCACGACAGGCGCCAAATAATTGGCACGACGGCTTCTACGACAGCTGCTATTTGCTTTTGAATGGCGCACGATTATGGGTGGAGAGCGACCTTTTTGCATTTCTTGCCACGGACTGTGTTATGATTCACCTGGCTCAACGCCCAGTTTACCGAGAAAAGGTATTTAGACTCATATGGAAGCCCTTCGATGGGCAGGCAAAGGGGGGGGTTGGGAGGGGGTGGGGAGGAATTGATGTGACACCACGGAAGCTGCCAAAGCCAGCTGGTGGGAGGGGTGGGTAGGGGGGTGTTCTGGATACCAAATAAATGTAGCCATAACAGCAGAGGTACAAGAGCAAACAGGGGTGGAATGGTATGTCGAGAAAGTACCTCGTATAGTCCCCGATATCGACAGGGGTTCAGCAACCCGATCGGGAATTCAAACACTTTTTCAGTTCTGAAATGTATCGGTGACTATCATTCACCTGGTCGGCCTTTTCTGGTTAATTTCATTCCTTTCTACCCATTTCAAATGTGACTCTATGCTGGAGATCAAGAAGCTGAAGGAAGAGACACCCACCACGCCCAGGATGCCACGCGGGAATACGATGCACGCAACGGGCCTTGCATTCAGCCCTGCAAGCTGAATAGGACAAGTGAATAGGGCAACCTGTCAGGTCACAGCAGGACGCCGCAAGCTACAACAAGACGAAACTACCAGCCGCATCTCTGTGCGCCATTGCTCCATGAGGTTTAGCCACCTGCGCCTGAACACTGGATACGATACCAAGGTAAACCACAGACCTCGGGCTCTAGAGGGGGAAGAGGAGGGAGAGAATACACACATACGCGGTACACATACACAAACGAGGGACACATACAGTCGCCGATTCCTCATCTCAAGCCAAACTCGTTCCCGTTCGGCCACAATCTACTGCCGGTGTATCTATCTATCCTTTGCGTCTTTTTTTACGGCCTTTGCGCACGTTTTCCGACACACCAAAAAAGAGAGTTTGATTAAACCCCTCGATGCCGAGTACATTGTAGGGACAACGGGATGGATGTGGTTGAGGTCCTGAGAAATCTCCCATTCTCCCTTTTTTGGGGGGGGCAACTCAGAATCCTTCCTGCATCCCGATGGCCGCCCCTGGGAGAAAGTAAAGGAGGGAAACAATCCAACAAGGACCAGACCAGTCCAGTCCAAACAACACCACGCGCGCGCTCTTGTTTTGTGCGCAAAGGTCTAGAATTGAGATTGTGACCAGGGCACGTAGGGCAGCAGGGGGAGGGGGGCAAAAGGAGAAGGAAGGAATCAAGGGACCCTTTTTTCTCTTGTCCTCTTTCTCTCTCTTCTGTGTGTCTCTGAATCCTTCGCATCCCCATGTGCCGGGCTGCATCTCTGGGCAAATCGCCATGATGGATTCGTGGGAACCGCTAAGCCCGCGTCAAGTGCTTTTCGGGTTGAATATGTAAGCAAAGTTGTTATTTTGGACCACGGCCGAAGCACCATCCAGAGCCACCATTTTTTTGGGGCCCTGTGGCGTGGCGTGGCTCCAACAAAGTGCCATCTACCTGATTCGGAAACGGAGTCATTGCTAATTCTATGGCCGTTGAGGGCCTCCCTCGGGACTTTAGGGGCTGGCGTCTCCATCAATGGACCTCGAGCGACGATAGGGTTCGAGGCGGTAAATCACAGGTATGTGTCCAAGACGTCCGACTACCCATTATGGCCTTTCTGGTTGCTTTTGGGGGTCAAGATCGCCGCCATTGCACTTTTGCCTTGCGGTCGTCCATGTCTGCAAGCACGAGGACACTGTGAGGTGAGGTGAGGTGGCTGGAGGCGGCGTCGGAAGTAAAAGTGCGCAAAGCTCATATAGGGTGATTCTTCTTCCGACAGTCCTTTCTGGAAAGCCGTGGTACGGCCGCCTATTTCCACGGTACGCTCGATATCACTGCTCTGGGCGGGGCAGGCTTTGCCTCCCAGCGGACTGTGGGCGAAGATCAACACTGGAACCTGGAATCCTTCACAGGTATCGAGGTCTCGATCGATCTATCCCAGTCCGACGACAATGTCTACACGCTGATCCTCAAGGATGAACTTCCTCCCAACGCATCCGACGGCCGTGAACAAGCAACGGTATCTTGGGAGTATGACTTTTCCAAATCCAAGTGCCGACCCTTCCCCCAGATCGACAGCTCTACCACCACCACGACCTCGTCTTACCAGTCTGTCTTTGTGCCATGGGACCACTTTAAACCCACATACCGTGGCAAGCTGGTCAACACGCCCAGGAGTCTGGACCTGAGCAACATCAGGAGGGTCAGCATCATGATCAGGAGGTTTGATGGTTGGTTGCGGTGGATTGATTCGTCAGAGCTGACTGTTTTTTGCACAGTTTCTTTGGATCACAGCACGGGGATTTCCACGTGCGCGTCCTGTCCATCGTCGCGGTTGCGGTCAAGAGCACAAAACCCGCAAGGATGCCGTCAATTGTGGCGGGCAACGCAAGCGGCCACCAGAAAGATGCCCAAGTCGCCACCACTGCCGCTGTATCAGGAAATGGGAGAAGAGATGGAGAATAATGGCCACGATGGATGGCCCACTGAATTTTGGGGAGGGGGCAAACAAGATGGGGAGACATGGACTTGAACACACCGTATTTCGTTCTTCTCGCCTCAAAGCTTCGTGGAGCGTTCGTCCAGAGCGATCACCTTGTTGTTCATCGGGTCCATGTCCCATAGCTCAAAGCACTTACAGGTCTAGTCAGCGGACGGGTCACAAACAGTTCTCGCCATGATCACCCCTTTGCCCTTTACCCTTTACCCTGGTGACCAGTGACCACCCAACAAGTCCTGCGGCCCTTGCAGCCGTGACGGGATTATCACATCGTCTTGTCACGGGCAAGTGCACAAGGGGAGACTGTGTCGGTTCCCACTTGCCAATGGGGGAGTGTTCAGAGCCCTTTGACAGCTGTCGTTAATCAAAGGTGCGGCTCCGTGGCTGAGTAAGGTCATCATCATATCCACTGGCTCGCAACGTGCAGAGCAAAAGGACATATCCGCCATTTTTGGTCTGAGAAGTGGTGTACTCGACAAAACCACTGAGTACTCGTCACTCGAAAATGACCCTTTGAATTGAATAGTGAGAAGTGGGCAAGCAGGCAGAGAAGCACTACCTTCCTACCTACCTAGCTACCAAACTATACTGGGGCTTGACTTGACTCGATGTTACAATCCGCAGCGGGTCTTTGCTCTTTTCAGCCTTTCAGCCTCTGGTGCCGCTGTGTCGCCGTCGTATGGTACAGTACCCAATACTACTACCTCAGGTACCTCAGGTCTGGTGCTCAGTGATCTACGAGTAGTAGTACGAGTACGTACTACCGAAAGAAGGGGGCGCGCTCGCTCTCTCGTTCGTTGGTTCGTTTGTTCGCTCGCGGGCTCGCTGGTATTTACCGAAACGGGTAATTTCTCACTCCGCGAAAAGCCAAACTCGCACGATGTTCCGGTTTGGCGTGGGCAGCCCTACCAAGTTTATCGCTGGCCATACAAGCTAGGTATACGCGGGCAAGGCAATGCAAGAGCGGGATATGCGTCCGACTAACTCATCCCTTTGTATGTACGAGCCCACGAGGTTACTTGTCATTTTCAGCGGAGTCCCACAAGGAATAACGACGGCCACTAACCTACGAGCGTAGGTAGATCAAATACTCTTTTCCGGAGTGGAAGAGGGTAGCATTTAGATTCTGGATACGCACTAAAACACGACCAGAGCATCACAAGTACCTCGTACTGGAGGTACTGGAAATACCACTGCTTAGTGCTTCCTAGTAGTATGTACGAACAAATCCCCTTGCCTTACCTATCTCCGCCAAATGGCCGTGGAAACGAAACGAAACGAAACGAGAAAGAAAGAAGAGCCGCCTACCCTTTTGGGACGAACGTACTTTGAACTTGCACTGGCACTTGCACAGGCATAGTTGAGAAAGGGAAGAATCATGATACGTCAGAGAGAGGTGTGTGCGTGTAAGTGTGTGTAAATGCCTCATGCCTCATCCTCACAGGGACACGATCACCACAGCGCCGCTGGCTGCACCGCAGCAGCGACCGCGACCGCACAAGGCTTCGTGCTGGACCAGTGAGAATGGGCAAAGAGCTGAAATCCACTCGAAAGAGCCGGTGAAGCGCCAACCCCCCCCCCCCCCCTGGTTCATGTTCCCATGTTCCATGTTCCCACGTTTCCCAAAGGCAGGGCAAGGAAGGACGAACCCCGCCCTGACTAACGCTGTGCATGTGCAGCCAATGCAGACATACAGATGGAGATACATACAAACATATCACGAGGCTTTTGTGCGGACGAATATGAGATTGGGACGAGTGACAGGCGAGAGAAGCGAGATACGACAAGACCCTACGTAGAAATGCAAGGATTTCTTTTTGTTGGATAGGGTTGGAGAGCAAGCAAGGCTAGGTCAGATTCCGGGGGGCGTCTACTCGTTCGATATACCTAATCGCGTCCGGAGCACCTACAAACATGCTCGTGTGTATGCGATACAAGATCATACACTTACACCTACCAGGTCCGTCTATGCGAGCAAGACAGAATCGACCACACCATGTAACTAATCACTCAATAATAATAATCACAATAATATACCTACATGTACTCTGCACAGTAAGTAACTTGTAGGCACCATCTCCGGGCTAGCTATATGTGCAGCAACCTTCATTACCAGACGATACATTACCAAATTATTAAGTATCGGAGGCCCCGGCCAGGCTAGCCAGGCACGCCAGAGCCACGGCACGGCGTCTCCTTGGAACGACGGTAACGCTGGGGGGTTTTTTGGGGGCCGATTATGTTGCTGCCTCTGCATGAACCAAATACGAGTAACTCCCAGTAGATACAAAGGATCTTCGGCAATCCCGTTGATATACGGAGTACGGAGTACGGAATAGCCAGGTATTCATACAAGAACATACATACATACATGCCTTACGGGGAGGTGAGGAATCACGGAGACTGGGGCGGAGGCGGTGCATTCACTTTGGCATTCGCATTTGATGGCCCCCGAGGAACATCGACAGACACAGCGACAGTAACAAAGAATGTAAATTGCAAATTGCATAATCGTATTGCTAACCAACGGACAGTATGTCACGGTAGGCGTGATTGTCCATCATCATCAGAAGCCAAGCGAGACGCGACGACTTGCTTCTCTGCGCCTCCCTCCTCGTCTTGGAATTTGGAATGGATTTTACAAAGGCCGGGTTGTCGTGTCCTGTTGGGTTGGGTTTGCGGAGATAAGGGGGGAAATTAGAGGAAGAAGACGTCATGGGCAAGAAATAAATGAATGCCAAAGTCGGCCGTTTGTAGGTAGCGTAGATACGACGACGAGGTCGGTTTCCTTCGTACTGTACTAACCTTCTACCGTGTAACTGACTGACTGACTCGACTAGGTCGCCACGCAGGTACGAGTTACTCACTACTCGGTGGGTAGGTACGTAGGTCCAGGGTGAGGGTTGCGAGCCCTCGCTAAAGTGGTTGACAGAACAGCGAAGCAAGCAGGCAGGCAATCAATCAGTACGGGAGCCTAGAAATGAAGAGACTCAGAGAGACGAGGTTGCATTCTCCCGGGTCAAACCGCCAAAACCGCCAAAGTGCAAGCAGCATTTGTCACCAAGCGTTGGCCTTGGGGGGTCGCGCGAGGCTACTTTAGTCCTGCAGCCCAGCGCCCGCCCGCCCGCCGCCACCGTTTGTCGTTTCTTTGAGGATTTTCCATCATTACCTCGTTCTTACGAGGTTGTAAAGCCTAGAGCCTACCTAGAGCAGAGAGGGTTTTGCCAGGCGAAACGATGGCTGAGGCGGAAACCAGCTATTCGGTATCTCGTCACAGAGAGGACCCGCCTCGCATCTTCCCCTTTTGGTAGCCATCGGGAAAATCACGTGTAAGGCACAAGGCGGAGCGAGGCGAGAAAAATAGAAGAGGTGGATCTGCCCCCAAGTGGGTGGGAGTTAGTGGTAATCAAAGACCCTCCCCTCGTTCTTTGCTAATAAAACAGACTAGACGCTGAAGGGCAGGAACACACCCAAGTTCTTTGAATCTCGGAGAGACGCCTGAGGGATCCCCCATCCATCCATCTCTACCCATCATCCACTTGGTGGCCATCCACTGGAACCTCGTCAGCCCACTTCCTTTTTGGAAAGAGGCCCTGGGTACTCTCCACGCGTGATGTGATTGTGATCAGTGATCACTTTATTACCATTACTATACCTCTCGCAGAAAATGGGATTCGTTTCAATAATCCTATCGCAAATCTCCGCTTTTGGAATGCGCCCTAGGCTTTCTTTTTTGGCTGCCAGGAGAGAACAGCTGTACCCGCTCCTCGGTACCTGTACAAGTAGAAGCCTTCCAAGAGCAAAGACCAAGACCAAGAACAAGACAAGACATGCCGACTTCTCCATCTATCAACTAGAAACGGCCATGTGTTCGAGAAAACCACCAACACCACCACCACTACTACTACCAACCATACAAATCCGCCAAAACACTTGGGACTTTTCGGTACATTCTTTCAGGGTTACTAGGCTCTCCAATCAAAGAATGTGGAACAACCAGGGAAAGAAGACACCCACAAGGGCCCCCCAGACCTGGAAGGTGGAGGGTGTGTCACCCACCCACTTGACCACGGGCGTTTAATGGCGTATGCACTTGTGTCGCAATCACCTTCAAAGGTACTCGAAGGAGAATTCCTTGCCAACCACCAATTAACAACTGATTTTCCCATTCAGGCCCCATGCAGCCCAACCAGCTTGGCGGGAATCGCTCAAGCATCTGACGTGTGCACTGTGAATGGACGTCGTCGAGTCCTCTACCCAGTAACAGAATGGGGCCCGGCCAAACATATAGGCTGGCAGGGCAGGCTCTCCTTCAGCCCAAGAGTTACAAAAGGTACAAGGAGCGGTTGAGTCAGCATTTCTGTGCGAGAGAGATTTAGATCTTGAAAGGTTGTTTTGACAAACACTCTCTAACTACTATTACTTCTTCTTTGTTAGTAGAGAAAAATGCCATGCATTACAACTACCTCAAAAGGGAATTTGCTCAATTTTTTTTTTCCATACGAGGACCGAGTAACTCGTACTTTGCAAGTGCCGAAGTTTGAAACCCTGAAACGCAGCATGCGCACCTAGCCAGCCAGTCCAGCCAGCCAGCAACGGGGTTTCGGGGCCACCTCCACCTCCACTCTTCCTCTCCCCTCTTGCGCTCGCCGCCCGCCGCATGGATGCCCTTGGTCATTTTCTTTCTCTCGGAAGTCGACGGATTCACTCGTACGAGCGAACTACGTGTCCTCGGTGCTGGGCAGTCCCGTCAGTGGACGAGAGGAGAGAAGAGCAGAGCAAAATAAACAACGCAATACATTGGCAAAACCCGGAAAGCAAGAGAGAAAGAGAGAGAGAGGGGCAGGAAGGACTTACAGACCTGCCTAGGCACCTAGGCTGAAGCGTACACTTGCACCTGCACCTGCACTGGCCCGCCTGATCCCTACCTACGCAGGTAGAGGTCTCCAATCAATACGCAGCAACC